CCACAGCTAACAGGCTGATGCCACGGTGGTTTTCGCATAGCGTCCGTGTACCCTTTTTGAAGATAGGGATACCTGCCAACATGCCCCATTCTGCAGGCATTTTTCTCTTCGTCCCACATAGTAACAATGAGCTTTGTCAGGTGGGTCACCAGGGAATTTCCGCCTTCTTCGAAGAGGGCTGGATACAGACCGTCCGGTCCTGGTGCCTTCTCAAGTTTCAGTACGGCCATTTCGTATCCTATTTCTTCTTCCGAAGGGCGGGGTGGGGGTTAAATCCACGAATTCCCATCTATTAATTCAGTACCAAACCATTTGTCCACAAGCGGGCTATCATTGATCTAATTAACTGGTACTTAGCAAGGATTCAGCCCAGGAATAAATCTACCGATTGTCGCCAAACTTTTTCGAAAAGGATTCAGCTCTCGTCATACGCAGAATAATGCGGATATAAATGCAAACGTTGCATGGTACTCACTGTCAGGAAATGTGCAATGGTTAGTAAGTGAGAAGGTCTACTATGTAGTAAAAGTTTTTGGGGGGCGTTGGCGACTTTGAGGCATAGACTGAACAATAAATGTTAAGGGTTAAATTCTAAGACTGTAAGTTGCCATCGTGCAGCTTCACATATACGCGAAGAGTTGTTCTGGCAATCAAGCATCAATGTACTTACACCAGTTGTTTCAAACTTTGTGGCGCAGCTACGAAGTAAACTGGGACGCAAAATTCTAGAATTCTAGTGATGTAGGATTATAATCTTACAAAAGTTTGTAGAGAAGCGTTTAAAACTATTTTCTGTGCTCACACGACATGGTTTTGAAAGCTATTAATTTGAGATTTCTCTTCATCTACGTAAACTTCATTTTTGGTCTTGTTGAGTGCACTACGCTGAGCACTAGCGTTACACCATAGTAACGTTTTTGTTACCTGACAGATTCTCAAACAGATTGGTCCATACAAAGGTTCTGTTCAATTCAACTTCCGAGCCAAGTATTTTCCGGAGGATGTTACAGCAGAACTTATCCACGAGATCACCCAACGCTTATTCTACCTCCAGGTAAGTACACACTACTGAGTTCTAATAAATTATTTTGATGGTTAAATTTACAGTCAGTTTTTGTGAAAAATGTAGAAAGTGTATATAGGTCAGTTAGTTGGTTGCGTACTTTTGTCTGCCAGTGAATCACGAGCCAGAAGGCTGAGTAACCGAATTTACTGGCAGCTACACCTACACACAGTCTATTAGAAAAGAGTACGAAACAAATAATTTGGCTATGAAGTTAATCTGCCATTTCCTGGTTCGTTTGACTTACGCTCTCCCATTATTCCATCTGATCAACTTGCTTTTACCAGTAGTGCTGATGCACGTGGTAGTTCCTTCTATGACCTTTAGGACTTGACTTAAAAGGTGCTTCATGCCCCTGCCTGGTCATACCACGCATCTTAGTAGGGTCAGGCCCATTAGAAAAGTTAGCTGATCCGTTCTCACAGAGTGTGAGCTGTGTTTGCGTTTCGACAATCCTATGCTCATCATTCCTGACGTTTTAACGGGTTTTGCAATAGACGTAATCTTGATTTTTGCCGAACAAATGACCGGTAAAAGTTCGAATAATGAACAGTTTTGGTAATCCCAAGGTGCGTAAGACGGTTGATGAACAATCGGCGAGTTTTTCTCAAACTTTAGTTTAATCGCTTGAATACCGGCCCAACTAAACTTGACAGGCACTGAAATTCAGTTAAACCAAGGTTTATTTGAAATTCTATTGAAACTTTCGTTGGTAATTTATGACTATTCCAATGAGTTAAAAATGCCAAAACTTAATTATTTGCCTTCAACGCCAGGCCACCTGAAGATGCTTCAAAAGATATCCGGCTTCTACTACAAGTAATCAAGTTTCCCGAAAGAGACGTAAACATCTAGACTTAGACTGAAAAGTACGTGCTTTTGCCTTTATAATGTCTCAAACCAAATTGGCATCTGACCTTGAAATAGGAACAAAAGCTCAGCGTAGAGCAAGCTCAGTCACAAAACTGACGGCCAGACCGGTGGCGCAAAACTGCCAAGCAAACCCGGGAGACTAAAAGTGTTTTTGTTGAAACGTTTCCATTAAAATTTGCATTTAAAAGTGTGCTTTAAGAAGAATGTTGCAGATGAATCCATCAGTAACTTTTCGCTTCGAAGTTATCCTATTGCCGATTTATTTGCAGAAGTGCGGTTAGTTGGCTTTACCTGGGAGAATCATGGATGTTCCAGTAGGAGTTTTCTATATTGAAAATACTGGGGCGATCTGGATGCAAAAGAATTGATAGGGAAAAGTTCATTGCGAACGCGGAATCCTCATGTGATCTACTTCTGAAAATGGTAACAAGCGGGAGCAAATGAAATGTTACAAATGGTTAGGTGACGTTAGTGAACACTCATGGTAATGAGACAACACTGTTTCCATTTTTTTGTGACGCCAAAACGTCACCGTTAGATGTCACAGTATTATTACAGATGAAAACAACGATTCGGCATACCAAAGCAAGTAGGTGAACCGCTACCGTGTTATAACTCTATATCGTATTAGTATATGTACATCGTGTTTTAAGGCTATACTAATTTGTGACACAATTGAACATGGACCCCGTTCCTAGTCTCTGCTGGACATTCAGTTTGGAATGCTGTCAATGATGGTAATGATGATAGAGATGATGATATTGGCGATAATGTTGATGTTAATGATGATGATCATGATGATGATGATGATGGTGAATATAAGCTATAGGTTTCCGTCTAACTTATGCCCACTTGAACTGTATTTGGACTGATTTCAACAAACACGCCCAGTTATAAATCAATTCGGTCTTCGCGGGAGACTCAACTGAATCTGTCGTTTAAGATATTCTTCAGCTGATTGTGCTGCACAAAGGCCGCCTCATTTTTACTTGCCTGCGATTCACTGAAATTTCGTAACAAGGAGGCACAATACGTCTGCATTATGGAGCTATAAGCATTCACACCCCATCACTGGACGATCGGCTCAACACGAAGTGTTGAAACAGCCGTACAGTACTTCTCAGCTTTCCAGCGTGGATTAGGTTTACTGATCAGATGAAGCCTTTAGTGAACTTTTTAGTTCTTTAGAGCTTTTGCTCTTTCATGATTAAGTTTGATCGTCCGTTGTGCCTGTGCAAATCTTATTACATACAACAATAGACTGGCGTGTTCCTGGATTAAAGGTTATAGGGCTTATGAGCACCAAAGCTAAGCGCCCTACTGTTATGTAATCTGACTGGTAGATCATTATAGTTTGTGTCAATCACGCCTCTGACCCAGGAACACAGTTAATGTGCTTTGCTTACGAAATGCCGGATAATGCTTAGACAAATGGAGGGATAATATTTTTCTGCTACTGTATCCTGAAATCTTTAAGGTCAGATCAATAATGTTGATGATGAGCAAGTTGTTGATGGAGCAAATCTTCCAAGAGTGGAAGATATCAGAACCGGTAATATTTCCAGAGCTTCCTCACAGTAAACCACCTTACTAGACTAGTTGTGGGCCGAATTCCTGTTTTAGTCCCTCTGACCTCCCAAAAGTTTTATTATCACTTCATACGAACGTATGTACCTTATTTTCGTTCACGAACAGAATTTCACCTTCTCCACCAAAACAGACTGCTTGTTCTCATTCTATTCATAGTAATTATTACGCATGCAGCTTTAGTAGGGAGTCGCTTGACAGCAAGTCATAAGTTCATTCTGTTCATTTATCAAAATGCAACTGAACAGTGGTTAGGTGTGGCATTCAGGTTGAAGTTAAATTCCACACAGCCTGAATCATCACTGGCCTATCGAACTCAGATATTCCGGCCAACTCAACCAGAGAAGACTTAGACGTTTGTTTGCGACCCATTGTCAGTATCCGCACCCGGGTTTGAGCATCGAGGCAACGAGCCGCTGTAATTAGACTGTGGTGAATTCCTACGAAGTTGGCCGAGGGAAATAATCAAAAACACCCTGCACATGGGCGAACATCACATCAGCGAAACCCAGCGGTACTGCTTATCGAGGGACACTGTTTGTTTCAAGCCCACGGTTGGAGGATTCATTATCCAGAGGATTAGATGCTATGACAAATATAGAGGGTCATTAAAGTGAAACGACAGGTCTGTGACCCTACATGGAGCAAAGCAGTCACATATACGTGGCTTGCACTGCCTTGAACGTTGCTGAAAACTCTTTCAAAGCCCACGGCTAGTTTCAGTGTTCTAAAGGCTCATCAGGTTGGAGCAGTCCCTAAGCTTCCATCAATCTTATGTTCTACTTGAGCCCGTTTGTACGAAATTCCACAAATTCTTATTTGAATGCCGATTTTGTCTTAAGGGAAGACTCATCTGGGGTTCAGTTGAGTCTCCCGTTTAAACCAGATTGGTATGCAAATGAGTGCATTTTGCGTAGGTCTAATCGGAGGATTGCTTACTGACCAAACACCAACCATTTGGCTCACTTGCATAGAACATTTGGGATACAAAAATGTGCTTAAAATTTACGGTTATTTTTTATTCTCCATAACAAGGTATGCTCTTTAAACGTTCTCAGTTATTTGGTGGGAAAGAACTAATCCTCCGTTCGTTATACGCATTCCACTTGGCAGGGATCATTTGCAAAACTTTTCCACATCTCTTGATTCTGGGATCGAGTGTATTTTACCAGTCCCAGCAGCATGACCTCGAATGATTTGGTCCAGAAGTAAGGTGGCTTTCGACTACACCCAAGCACATCACAGTGAATAGGTGGATCAAATTTCAATTTGTTGACAGCGTAATCCTTCAGGTCCCACGACTAAAAATGGGTGGGCCGGATGGGAGAGCTGTCTTCTATGAGTTTTGTCTGTGGACAATAGTCTGCTGTGGCTACAGCGCACATGGAGTTTTTACTCGAATAAACCTGAGAGTTGTTAACCATCTGTTGATTAGAAGAAACATCCACAATGTGTGGCGAGGGTACGGTCTATTCGGTTTATTACTTAATACTGTGATGATGCTAGTGACAAAAGCGTGCAGAAATCAGACAGTTTTCTCCTGAAGGAAACTTCATTTCATGTCGAAAAATGGAATAGGTCGTGGTCGAAGGTAAAATCCGTCGTTGTATCTACTTTGAATTTCTGTAATTTTGAAGGGATTACTGGGTCAAGCCTGCACAGATCGATACTCGATTTCAGTTCCTTAAGTTGGGTTGGGTTAAAGCCGCCATATAAAGCTTTGGATCCAGACAATCAGCTACCAACTAAGAACGAAGTATTACTCCGAGTGCGGAAAGGAAGAAGGATCGAGTTCACAGTATGAATCGAAATTTTTCTTTATTATCTTCATTATCTTCTTATTTGAACGAAATCAATCGTTCGGTATAGGTTTCAATAACGAACCAATTCTATGGGGTTTTTCTCTCGCCACTAGGTTGATGGTGATGTCACTGTAGAGATGATCTAGCATGGTTCATACGATGAGTTCAACTTCACAGACTATGTAGAAGACGCTTATATAAACTTTCTCAAGGTGTTCTTGGGACACAATCTGACTTTGGGTGTATTCAGACAAACCATCTTGTGAGCACTATCAATGGATTTCTGTTGGCATAAAAATACTTAACATCCTGTTTTTATCAAAAGGTGGTCTTTTTTCACAAGAAAACCTAAGGAGAAGAGACTTCTGTTAAACAGTTAGGTATCATCCAGACCTGCGATCTAGATGACGTTTGACAGAAACAAATAGGTTCATAATCATGTTAGGCACAGACAGCCCCAATAATAACACTTGGATCAACACAAAGGCGTGTGGGTTGAAACATATCAAGAATACCCAATCACCTTTACAACATTCTCATGAATCACACTTCAATGGGAGACCGTTTATAGACTACGTCATTTTACATTTGACCCGGAACGTGACACTGTCACTGACAGACAAAACTTTCGTAAAAGCTCACAAAAAGATCATGGTTGTACGGCAGTGAAGCAGGATGTTGAACGCTGATGTCATGCTGTCGATGATGATTCATTGATTTGTGATACCGGATTTAGACCATAAATAAAATTCCAGGTACCGCAGGAAGAAATGCAACCAGTTTCCACAATCCTGTACCAATCCAGTTACAGTTTCGAGCCATCAACCACTAAAGGCCGGAAAGTAGTTAGGGCCATCCGTCCGCAAACATGCAGCACAAAGTATAAAACGGTTTACACTGGATTTCATCCTTTTGACCGTAAAGTCTAGGCGAAATTGCGTCTTTCTGATTGTACCAACATCGTCTGCGGGCTGCCGTCCCAACTTATCTGACTTCAGACATATGTTGCATTTTTCAATCTCCCTATGTTGCATATGTAGTTCTTGTTTCCTTTGAGGATAACTACAATCAATTATGCTTGTTCTAGAGAGGAGATGTCATTTCAGGTAGCCATTTCAACATCGGATCAATAAAATATCCCACCATCCACTTCATCAGCTTGATTAGGAATAGTCATGTATTCAGGTATAAACAGACTAGAGCTGTGCCGTCACATGCGCGCAAAACTCGCTTTAACTTGATAAGACTAAATGAACCAATTTCATTCATCATACCTTGGGTCAGCCTCATCCAAAGAAATTCAGACCGTCTGATCAGTTAGTTTGTCACAGTGTCAGGCGTTGAGAATGATTGGAAACTACTTTGTGTTTGAAATTTCCTCCACCGCAACGCGCCAAGCAAATCTAATCGATGCATTTGTTCCCAGTGAGCTGTGAAATGACCGGGACAAATGTATTCAGAGATGTTGCTTTGAAAAACAGTTTAGAACCTCCATTAAAGAAAAGGTTCGGCAGTGACGCATTGGTACTCTGTGTGAGTTCCACTATAATTGATGCTTTTGACTAGCGGGATGGGGGGGTTAAAAGCCTAAAACAGGCAAACTAGGATGTGAGAGCCATTTAAGATGCCAGCACCGTATACATTAGCTCAAGCTCGTAATACTTTACTACATCTGTTTGAATTAGTTGCTCCGTAAACCACATTACACATTCCCCAAATTTGGCATTTTAGTTAGTTCTTTCGACCTTCAAAGAAGCCTAATTTAAATTTTTTTTACATAACTCACACCCATCCTGGAATAAAAAATAGCCTGAATAGGAAGAAAATGATACTCACTGGTTGAATATCAGTAGGTTTCTAGTTTCTGCAGGCACCTGAGGTAGCATGAAAGAATAAACGAGAGGAATTAATTCGTTAAGCTTGAATGGAACGGGAGGATGATGGAATACATGGCTAATTACTCTGTCAGAGTTTGTTTTAGGTCAACCTGAACTTCAACTATTTGTGCAACTCATATGTTTTTTCGTCAGGAGGTGGATTTTCAACATCCATAAGCGATACTGTGTTGATAAGTTTATAAACAAAAGATTGTCGGACTGGATGAAATTGCGGTTAGAAAGCCAAGTGGTGAAAACAACGTTAGAATGTGCAATGGAATACGCAATAATTCACAGGGTTTGAGAGCTTAGAATGCATGAAAAGTATGATTCTGCCTGTAATCCAGTATGAGAGGATAAGAATAGCACAGATATGTCCATTGCGCTTCAACATACTCTGAGAAGACCGGACGAAATATTCATCACTGGATTCACGGAATCAAACAGAGCCATTATAGAGGAATACACATGGTAGTAGTCTATCTGATAAGTCCATTTCTAGCGAATGGGGCTTTAAACTATAATAACAAGAGGTAAGATATTCCATCATACGTTACCTGAAGGTGCATAGATCCGGTGAGGCTAGGGATACGTGAACATTCGAGTGCTTTACAAAATGAACTATGACTGAGTTTGTGAAAAGAGCTTTGCACTGAGTCTAATGATCATTGCTCTACTAAAGAATTTTTAGCTCAGGGTTTTAGGCTGATCATTTGCTTGTAATGGTCGCATCGAGGAGAGTTGTATGCTAGCCTCAATCGTGCAGAGGAGAAGATCAACGTTCACATGAATATTTCTAGGTGTACGATTAATCTGCCTGCATGAATAATTGATACATGGACACGTGACGTGTACTTTGCCCGTGCCAGACACATTCGAGAAACGTAACCAGCAGTGACACGTGACGCAAGCAGCATTTGACAAATCAGAAAAGACCTGATTTTTAAAACCATAAAGGTGTCTTTCAAGTAGAAAAATCAGGTCTCATTACGAGAAAATATTTGTTAGTTTAAGCTTTCGCCTACTGAAACATCCAAAGGTAAACATTTATCCGATATCTGTTCATCTTATTTTATTTCTACAGGTAAAGGAGAGCATTTTGACGGGCGAGATATACTGTCCCATTGAAACTGCAGTTCTGCTAGCATCCTATGCCTGTCAAGCCAAATACGGGGATTACGACCCTTCAGTGATACGATCGGGGTTCCTTAGAATCGACCAGATGCTTCCGCAAAAGTAAGTATGATAAATGCGGTGAATACCTACCCTAATTATAGAAGGGACGAGTAGGTTGTGCTTTTCTGTGATTTAGCCGCATCAAGGGCTTTAACATGATTGTGTAAATAAAATCACCTCAGCTAAACATTTGGCGCTGTGGTTATTCGACATTTTCCCATGTAATCTATCTGCCCTAACGAAAAAGTTTCTGACTATTACTGATTATTTCGGATGCAAGTAGTCCCACAGCATTCATTAGCAAAAGTGATGACTAAAAATCGCTGTTTTTTTCCATCAATGCGCTGTTTAATATCTTGGCTAGTTTGTCTTAGGTAAAACCACCTTACTATTTGCAGGTCCATCGTCGCGGTTTATGCTCACTGTGCATAGATAAGTGGTACCCAGACTTGCATTTCTATCCTAATACTCATTGGTGGAAAAGTGAAGATGTCACACACTGCCAGTAGGTTTTATAATTTCCCCAAAGGTACAAAGTTACACAGCAAAAGACTCAAAAATCTGATGAAAAGGCTTCACCTTTCTAACCCATATCACTCAGCCTAGTTGCACCGAAACTCTCGTTTGGTTCATTCGGTTCTGAATGCATAACTTGCCTGGGTGTATTTTGTTATGCCTTAATAGAAAGCTTGAAGCGGGTTAAGTGAAGGTGCTCGACCATTACACAGTGGAAAGTCTTCTGACAACTACCGGATACGGTCTCCTGTCTTTACCAAAAACACGATTCTGAGGGCCGATCAGGAGTACAGTCGTTTAACCTGTGAACAGTCACATGTGAGCAGGTCATAAGGACTTTGCCTTGAAAAATCGGCATTTGCGAATTTAGTCGATATTTGGTCATGTGACGTGAGTTCTCTTGGTGATGAATGGGCACTGCCACATCATGTTTAATTACCAGTTACCCATACTGCTGATCAGCCTTTGGAATCTGGTCGGCTCTCATCTGCTCTCTCTTGAAATTCATGAAGCTTGTGGCGCTAGGGCCTTACAGCAAGAAAAAACAGCTGTAGACCGTTTCATGGCTTCATCAGACTTCGGAATTGAACAAAAGGACCCAATCACTAGTTTCACTGTAAAATGTCCTCACTGCAAACGAGAGTCCATGCATTTCATATCCGGCCACATAATTTTACAAACGATTCCATTTTCCTTCTTCTCTTTCCCAGAAATCACCTATGAAGATCTTTTATCTTAATTCATCCCTCATTTTATGCAAAGCGAGAGAGTGTGTACGACTTAAGAGAAGACTGTTCTATCGTAGCGAGCAGTCTTAAGACCGCCAGCCAGAAAATACCATTGCACCATACGACGTTGCTCCCCTTTGAAGGGAGTACCTCATCACACCGACAAAAACTGATCTTCAGCAGGAATGCTTAAAAGTGATGTGTGCTTCAACCGAATGTAGCACATTCTCAGAAATGCTCACTTTATAGGGATGAGACAGTGTTATCTGACATCACAATCCGTTTGGCTCTCATACGCAACACACCTCATTGTTGAATTTCCAGAATAGTCTATTAAAAGGCCTTATCAATGAATTATTATCGAAAACATTAGTTTCTGATTAAAATGAACTTTATTTGATTGTATGGGTTGAAAACGCTCGCAAATTTACTTGACGACCATATGCCACTATGGCTCCTGATTTTATCTATGAATTTAACGATCCTCAACTTTCTCCGCCATTTCTCACAATTGTTTCCACCTACGTGCATCTTCTGTGAGATTTCGCGCTGCGTGAGAAACAAGAAGCCCTGACGATTACTAGTACAATTTAAAAAAAACAGATTTGGTATCTTCACTGATGGGAAACTAGAACCCGCCGGTTCCACCGATAGATCAACCTGCAAAACGACGAAGTAATTTGATAATTTCAGAAATTTATCTCCACTTGTAGGCAGTAATAGACACTCATGAAACTAAGTACTCGTCTTAGTAGGTTTGTCCATTGTACTGGCTCCAATCCATCTGTTTCCCACAAAATTAAAAAAAAGCTTACGCCACTTAAACAGCCTGCTAAACTGTACTTTCGGATTCTAGCTGCAAGCCTGAACCACTATTTAAAATTCTCTTAGCCGTAAAGTCTCATGTTTGGTTAGTGGTCAATATCGAAAGCAATGCCTTATTTCAGTTAACAAAGAGTTGCATCATTCTCTATTGAGATCAAAGCATTACGGACAAAGAATTTTTGTCTTTCATTTCTCTGACTCCAAAAGGTCTATAATCCACCAGTATGATGTCTCAGTCCAGTAAAAGAAGGAAGAGTTTTCCGAGGAAAAAAAACAATATTCCGGGGGTTGATCGGGTCAATCTTCCACGGCGCCCGTTTTGCCTCACTGGCTTGCACCGCTCTGTTTCCTAGCAAATAAGTCTGAGCAGTTTAACTCGTTCACAGATCGTTCCTTTCACTTCCATGTAATATTCCAGATGCTTTGGGGAGTTTCGACAAACCACCGATAGGTATTTGTAGCTATCTTGGGCCAGGGGTTTTTCGCTGAGCAGAACATCTTACGCAGAATGCTGGAGTATTCATTCTCCATGTTGGCACCGCTGTACCCATATTGCATGCGTCTGTATATTTTCATCATCTCTCTGTTTTGCTGAAGAGCATAGCTTTGAGGTATCTAGAGGAGATGAAAGCTACAAATTCGAAGACCTCAATTAAACGTCCTCGTTCTGGTGTGTTTTCACTAGACATTTTGGGTTGTCTATGATAAGTCAAACTAGGTTTATGGTGTTTTATACAGTGAAAAGAAACGTAATTGAAGCCGTCAAGGATTTTCCCCAATATTTTTTCTAGCTTTCAAAAAATGACAAATCTGAACTGATCATGATTCCATGGAGGCAAACCATTTCTAACTCGAATATTAAACGTTTTTTGCGAAAAAAAANGAAGAGTTTTCCGAGGAAAAAAAACAATATTCCGGGGGTTGATCGGGTCAATCTTCCACGGCGCCCGTTTTGCCTCACTGGCTTGCACCGCTCTGTTTCCTAGCAAATAAGTCTGAGCAGTTTAACTCGTTCACAGATCGTTCCTTTCACTTCCATGTAATATTCCAGATGCTTTGGGGAGTTTCGACAAACCACCGATAGGTATTTGTAGCTATCTTGGGCCAGGGGTTTTTCGCTGAGCAGAACATCTTACGCAGAATGCTGGAGTATTCATTCTCCATGTTGGCACCGCTGTACCCATATTGCATGCGTCTGTATATTTTCATCATCTCTCTGTTTTGCTGAAGAGCATAGCTTTGAGGTATCTAGAGGAGATGAAAGCTACAAATTCGAAGACCTCAATTAAACGTCCTCGTTCTGGTGTGTTTTCACTAGACATTTTGGGTTGTCTATGATAAGTCAAACTAGGTTTATGGTGTTTTATACAGTGAAAAGAAACGTAATTGAAGCCGTCAAGGATTTTCCCCAATATTTTTTCTAGGCTTTCAAAAATGACAAATCTGAACTGATCATGATTCCATGGAGGCAAACCATTTCTAACTCGAATATTAAACGTTTTTTGCGAAAAAAAAATTGTAAAGTATTGTGGATCAGCCATGTAACGTTTCTCAACAATGCCTTAGGAAGAAGTCTAAAGATATTTATGATTGGGGAACACGCAATGTGACGCTGGCTCCCAACCTTATTCTGCTGGAATCAAGTTCTATCCACATTCTGAGGGATTTACTCCGCTGGCAGAATATAGGAAAAAAATGGAATTTTTTTGCATTCGTTGCCCTAAATATCCGCAAAACGGTGGCCTTCAGCCCTCCTATTGATTCTTAAGTTAGAATACACTTTGAACTTGCTTATTGGGCTTTTGAATCTCCAGTTTTAGTTGTATTCTGACTCCCTTTAACTAGAAGTCCCGAACACCAAACCACTTTCTTCAACCCATCGTTTTCTCGCAACTACTTCAGTTATCACTGACAAAAGAAAGACCAGTGAGTGCTGACGAAAAGCAAAACTTTTGACTCCTTTTAAAGTTTTTGTTATCCACAAACTTTCGTATCCAGTGCGGTGTATGTCACTTTGAATTCCAAGTATGTAAAGGACAATTCACGGATTAAATTTAGCTTTTCATCGTAGGTTTTGTTGTGTCAATCCTTCGTTGAATATTGACAGGCACTTTTATTTGATGTGGTTTGGCAGTTTCTAACAAGCCTGGAAAGTCGAGTTTACATTAACTATTCCATGAGAGCACAAAGGGCCCTCCAGACGATTTAGAATGTGAAGAACCGAAGCCATTGAATGGCGACTGATAGTGGCGAATTATAATTGCCCTATCTTCCTTGTATTAACGGTCGCACGATAAATCAGAGAAGCTTTTATATATTTTCAACTGACCAAGATGTATCACTGCACCTTCTAGTGATACAGCAATTTGGAGAGCATTCAAGCACAACTGATGTACCGGATACAAGTCCAATCTCGTGGCTCCCAAAAAACGGTTTGCATATTTTTCAGATACCATGTAAACAGTGGAAAAAGTCAGTAGCTAATCGCAAGTATAGTACCGTCCAGCTGATGAAATAGCGCCCCATTATCCGGAATTCGGCAATTCAGACAAAAACCAAGCTAGCTGGAGTTTTCGTTATGACACTGTAACTGATGTTTGGTGTCACTGTTTCATTCTTCTATGCTTCGGGCAAAAAAGCACAAAGCAGAATGTCAGTTTGCCGCTCCTAGCTTTGACCACATTGTTAAGATACCTATAATTTATGAGTACATGATATACTGAAGGGTAATCACAATAGCATGAATTAATTGACGTGGTCAGACTCCCTAGCTTTCATACCCTGCATAAATACGTGTATCGACCAAATTAATCCTCTTCCGATTGCTTAGCGGTAGTTCAATANATCAGCGCGTCTTTGGGCAATAAATACTTGATTCCAGGGAGAGTAATTTTTACTGGATGCACACATTTTGATGAAAGTCTTGTCAACGCAAATTGAGGCGTTTGATACTGCGCCTCTTAAACAGCGAGTAATCTAGGCAATTGCAGTTTGTGTTGTTTGAAAAGACAGCTTGCTATCTTTCCAAATCATGGAAACAATTCACGTAAATTGAATTGAACACGTTTGCCTGTTCAGACGTGATAATTCGGATGCGTCCAACGTGCGTTGGTGAAGTAGTGGTTACACGCTCGCCTCGCATGTCAGATGTCCGGGGTTCAAATCCCGGCACGGCCATTGGATATACACTGCTGATGAGCTCTACTAAGAGCGAAACTCGAGTCCAGTGCTTCCCTTTGGTGTGAAACCACCGAAATAATTACGGCAGAACAACAACACGGCCGTTCAAACGAGAGTGGTGTGGCTATGAATAAATTGAATATGCCGAAAAAACTACACGTTCGCAGATTTGCGACTGATTCCAATAACGACCTCAAAATTACCTGATTTTTTACAGATTTTATGCCGAATATAACGCTAAACTGCGTATAAGATCACAAACGCGGTAGACAGACAGTTAATTATTAACCACAGTAGGGATAAACGCATGTTGTCCTTGCTCTTCATCATGAGAAAACTACTAACCAAATGAAACTACTCACAAGGTTGCTGAAAACTCTTCGACAGCCCACGACCGGTTTCGCCCTTCTTGGGACTCATCAGGTTGGCATAGTCCCCCAGTTTTCGTCAACCATATGTTCTACTGACCAAGTGCCCTGCATTTCGGAAATCTTGGATATACTTTTATACAGGCCAATTGGCGGAGAAATTGAAATGCAATCTAGTGGGAATCTAGTACCAACAACCTGCCCCCGTCTTCTAAGATGCTCTGGTTCGTGTAATGACCACCAAATTTTACGAGCAGTATTTCAGCAACACCATTCTCTAGACATGTCATTAGGGAAATGTTTATTTCTAGGCCCAGTGTTAGCTTCCGATTGTCAGTAGATCCCACTCATTCTCATCCCCTGTTTTCAAGCGTGGTTTCGGAATCCGGAGAAAACGATGCCGAACTGGAACAGTCTATTTTACGGTGGTACAAGGAACACAACAACATGCTTCGTGCTGACGCTATGCTCGAGTACTTACGAGTCGCGCAGGATTTGGAAATGTACGGCGTCACTTATTTTCCAATAAAAAACAAACGAGGGACCAATTTGTTGCTCGGGATCGACGCTTTTGGATTAAATGTTTATACGGATGATAATAGGTTAGTTTCTTTTTATTCTTCTTCCTAAGCGGTCGTCCGCTTTTATGACTAAACTTACAGTACAGTGTTCTAATGAACAAGTGCATGTCCGGTCAACGGTAAGCGTATCTGCTTTCACGCTAGGTGAGCTGAGCATTAACACGCTCCGGCCGCCCTCACTGGAAGCGGTCGTCAAATGACACCATGCGTTTGACCTCCAGTTAATTATCACTTACGCTGGTGTTTCGACCGGACCGCTTTGAGTTCAACGTGATTTGACATTGTGCAAAACAAACGTCCACAACTTTGAGCCAGACAACCGAGTGAGCTCAGCCATTTGCAAGCAAAACTGGTCGATCTTTACAGTCAGCGAAAATGATTGATCAAATGTGCGCGTAAACATGCTCTACTGGGCGACGGCTTCAGCCTGCTACAACCACAGCGAATTCGAAAAAGGCCGCAAGCATACCTCTTCTCAAACGCAGAGTGCATGTGTTACCGTTTACGAATTCAAATAAGAGGATGCGGTTCCAAAAGGTTAAAGTCATCGTTCAGGCGTATACGTCAATAATTCACATTCTAAAGAATGGTTCGTGCATTCTAGGTTTCACAAAATACTCAGGACCAAAAAGTAGTAAAATTCAGTTCGGTTTGATTTGTTCAAGCCGACAAATATAGTGGAAATTTGATAAATACAGTCATTCACTTACCAGTTCGGTTGTCACAAAAGACTCACGTGCAACCCAGGTGGATCTTTCGTCTATTATATTCTTCAGCTGAAACTACTCACAAGGTTGCTGAAAACTTTTCGACAGCCCACGACCGGTTTCGCCCTTTTTGGGACTCATCAGCTAGGCACAGTCCCCGAGTTTCCGTCAACCTTATGTTCTACTTGAACCTAAATTTGCGTAAAGCCTCCACATGTTTCAGATGATACGGCATTTGAGATATCGTGGTATATATTGTACATCACATTCAGTGGAAGAATACCTAAAACGAGATGTTTAGCTGCTTCAGGTGAGTATCCCGTGAAATTCATGTAGGAGTGAAAATGAGTGCACTTGTCGAATTTAGGCAATTCGGGTTCAGGAAGAACATGAAGTTGACGGAAATTCGGGGACTGTGCCTACCTGATGAATTCCAGGAATGGCAAAACCGATTATGGGCTTTCATGAGCAGTCTCCTTCACGGAGGTTTAGAGGAAACTTCAAATTTCATATTGTGCAAATCCAGTGTGATTCCAATCCTTTGAGTTCGCGGACGTTAATTAGGACTTGGAAATAATAAGGAGCTGGCGAACCAAGTGCTTCATATTGTTGATTTTATGGGCAGCGCAGAACAAGGGACTTATTGTAACATTTTGCGGCAATATTTTCCAAGCGGTGGCGCGCCAAACCAGGAAGCATGACAAACAGGTAAGCTGATGTTGTTATTGACCTGTTCAGGAGGGTAGATCCGGCAGATGGATGGAGATCCTGTGTTGTTATTTTGTTCAACAGGCCTATTTAAACTCCTGATGATGTATGGTTTACACTAAATTGCGGAGTCTAAGAGTAGATGAAGGCCGGGCAATGGTACCACTTGTATCTGTGCCAAATCCCGAGGTCATTTTTGGAGCTGTTTATCGAACACTGTTTCAAAATTCTTCGTGGATCCGTGCAAGATTCTGATAACATTTAGATGCAGAATTCAGTGTGCTCAAGAGTATCGTCACACAGGGTGAACTGTTTAGGTACTGCATCCCCAGCTAGACTCAGCAGCTACCCACGAACTATGAGGAGACCATCACCATCGGCTTCAGCTGAAAGAACCACCTACCTACTATGCAGTGATCACAGCTGTCATACTTCCGTTTGCCGATAAGCTGGGGTATTGACGGCGATAGCTGATACAACTGCTGTGTGAATACGGGTTGTTAGTTGACCAATCTTTGAGGAAATCGGGGGTGGAAGCTATTAACCCACTACAACGGCTTGGTACGTGCGCGCCATTTTGCGCGTCTGGACGTCTATAAGATCTGCCCAACTGATAAATATATTTCAGCAACTGACAATTTTCCCTGATCGCCAGCTCCTCCCCTTTGTGGTTACCTCATGCTTGGCACAAAATGAAGCCTTTGCTATAAACCTGAAAAATACACTCTGAAATAAATTTACAATCCACGAACTTGTTTCTGCGGTGTGGTCAATGCCCTCGTATTCAGATCAATAGTGCTCAATCTTTTAGTAACTACTTCAAAGTGACAATCAACTACCTTTAATGTGCTCTTTGATTTCGTGCACAGACTATCCTACATTCTCATTGCAAAATCCGTAGTCACTTCCACAGATGTTGTTATCAAGTAACCCAAGTGTATGCTAAAATGTCGCTCGTTGTCAGCCAATTTTCAATCCCGTTTGCGGGTGGTTTTCACAGAACTCGACCGCAGCAACGTGGATTCAGTAGGCTGGTTAACCAAAAAGATGACATTGATAGTGCAGGAAGCAATCACCTGCATACCTGTAGGATTTCGTTAGTTCACAACCTGCGTCAGATGCAGTGGGCACCGACAAATATGCGTCTGACAGCAAACCTCTCCGTAGCTTATGAGAAGTTCCTAAGCAGATATTTCCAAATGAACTGCACCATGTGTGTATCAACTACAGCACAACACAATGAAAGCAGTGGAATCGAGGGAGTCATTGAAATTTCTCATAATTTTAAAATTACTTGTTTCTCGTGTTGCACTTTTAAGCACAAGTACTGTAAAGATTCATAAGAAACTTTGAAGACTCACTTGATGGACCTGCTTTCTGGTCATGGTCGCACCATTGATCGTCTACACCATCAAATCGGAGGTCGTGTAGATTTCTGACGCTTTCTCTACATCAGTAGAATAGCTGAAATTTTCAGGACTTACAAAGAAAAGCTATAACATGTCAAAAACGTTTCGAATGATCACTCACTATCCACGTCCGAAAGCTTTACTCTAAATTTTATATACTTATCACCCTAGTCTCCGTTGTCTGACTCCTGGGGCATTATGCCCACTTGCAAATCAGTTTGCCGGTTATAGAAGACTCACTTAAATCCCAGCTAGAATCCTTGCTTTATAAGTTTCTTCGTGCACACAGACTGCCTCGCGTTTCACTTGAAGAATGTCATAACTCAAGGTCTCAGCTGGGATTCAGCTGAGTCGCCCGTCAACACTAACTTCATATATTCCGTCGGTTGCATACAATTTAGTTCTAAAGTAGAAAACAATTTTGATGAGAACGCACGGACGGTGTCTACCTGGTGAACTCTAAGGAGGACGAAACCCGTTGCAGTCTGTCGAAGGGTTTCCAGCAATCCGGTGAGATGTGTGTTCTATCAGGAAAATATTTGCCTATGTTCAACAAGCTGAACTTATGCCGACCAAAAGCCAGCACACGTAAAATAAGCTTTTAGAGGAATATGTTGTAGACTGCAAAGTCCAATTCACCCCCAAGTGTTGGCGTAAGGTTCTCATTACCTAATCACGTATGCAAAGTCACACCATATGAATCCATCCACAACACATTGCAGCAAACGCTTCCCACCACATGTGGTCAAGTAACATTGTGTCAATCTTTCGAGCTCATTTTCATATCGTCAAACCTTATGGATCCATGACAAACTGAAACCTGGAATAGCAGACCTAACCACTTCACGATAGTTTTTGGTTTGAAAACTGTTAGCGGATAAAATGGTACACTCTATAAAAATGATAGTTCTTGAAAGGAAATGTTTTTGCTAACGCGAAAGCAAAACGATGACGTCATGAATAAAGCTTGCTGTGCATAAGAAAACCCTAATGGAATAACAACCATGACTGATTTACGCAATAAAATTCAACGCTTTTTTATCCGGTGTTCCATACGTGGCGATTCTGTGAGACTATGCCACTCGTATCTGACTTACTTTAATGCACATCGAACCCTAACAGCGAGTCGTCGGTCAAAGACACTCAGCGATTTGGGTTAACGAGATTGTTAGTTGGTTCATTGGGACACCCATCATAAAAATGTCAACAAACGATCAATATTAGGCGAGATCTGCGCATTCACTGGAACGTGGCTAACTAACAACTGAGACAGGTAAATGCTCAAACGCATATCTGTGGTAACACATCGAGAGAGTTTCAGCAAGAAGGGGAAGTCATGATTACGGGGAATCGAATGAGAAACCATTCGAGATGGTTTACACTCTTCAGGGAAGAGTTCACGATTCTGAAAGACATAGATGCGATGAGAAATGTTTAGATGAATATTTCGTGTTGTCTACGGTTCGTATCATCTAAACCAAGATTGATACTGAGCTGCTGAACTTCATGCGGTTCCTCTTAAGAAAACGCTGTTAGTCAAAATACTGCGGTGTTTTGAATGGGCAAGATGGTCAAGGATAAAGCTTTGGAGTGACTTTGGCAAACATTTATTGGGTCGTTTCTATGAATATTCCTAAAACCCGAAGCATGGATTCATTCGTGATCTTGTGTGGTACTGTTGCATACAGTCAGTGTGTGAGTGTTTCCCCGGCTCATGAGATGGATGTGGGATTGCGAGTGTTTAAGTAAAGTAGGTCATGGTAAGCTTGTCAAAAGGAACCACTTTGTTCACCTGCACCGCCTGCCAATCTCACTTCTTCGCGGTTCTCTACAGCGAAACATAATTCCATTTGCGAGTATTATGGTGGCGTGCATTCTTCAGAAAGGTCAACTGTGGAAACCGATTCGTCTTAACAAAAGTTATCTGTACGGATGATTGTCTTGTTTTCGACCTATCTTCAGGTGAGACATCAAACATTCGCGCGCCGATTTTATCACCAAACTGAATAATCTTTCGGTCTACAGGTTTGTTAGAAAAGACGCTTTCATCCTGGCTGATGATTTGCTCGTCGCTAGCTTAAGCATTCCAGACTGCTGTCAAACAGTGCTGAAGGTATTCAACGTAAAGCACGAGACCACAGTCATTTCTAAACTTTAACCAACGGTTCCACATCAGTTTAGCATTTCATTAATATCCGTAACTATGTGGTTTCAGTGAAAATAGCATATGGTCGACCGCAAAGATCCTATCCAAAATTCGTTGGTCAAACAATGCAGTGTTATGTGCTAATGTTTTCTGGTAGCGTTATATCGTCTGGCGTGATAAGCCCCCGAACCTGTGGCAGCATCGCGCCCACTCATCTTCACAATAGTCTCACACAATATTTATCACTCGAGGTAACAAAACCGATTTTAGGTGAAAATTCCTCTCTAAACACCTCTCCGATTTACGTTTGTGACTCCTATCAACGTCTAACGAAGTAGAACAGCGCACAGTTGTAATAGCATAGTTTCTACTGAAATCTCGGCTTTCAGAACTGCATACAACACTGATTTCATTTGCTTATTGCCGTTTTATAAGCCCCAACATAATCTGTTAAAGTGAGAGCTGTGTGAATCTGTGGTGAAACAACCAAGCGTTTCAGTTTGGTTTACCTCTTTAGCGTACGCCATAACGTGTCCGGGGGATTTTCCTTCACGGTAACTCAACTTGGACATTGGTCCTCTTTTTCTAGTGTCTTGCCACATGCCCTCATGATTAAATTAAAATTTGAGTAATTCGAAACGTAATTTTAGGAGAAAACAGTCGCACAACTTTTAGAACTTGTGATGGAAGTACTTAGATCCAATGAGACTTAATATACTATTTCACTCGGCCTACTAATGAGTAGTCTAAATATTCTACGCAAGCCGTACTGAAAGAAAATAACCCACTCTAGGTGATGTTATTTATGAGAACTAAGAATGGATGATAGAGTGATTTGGCGTTTGAACGCACATCAGATTAATACTGCCGACATTAGCTAGCCTCGCCTAAACACGACAAATTCAAGGTGTATAAATGATTTCGTCTTGTTCCGTAGAACATCACAAGTTGCCAATGCTCCTGTATCATGAATAGCTACATTGGAATCAGAATGAATAATTTGGGTTTTGTGCAAAATTTTATGAAGTTCACCATTGTACTTTTATTTTTTTTGGTGTACGATTCATCAATAGTTTTCTTGTAGGAGATAAGTGGTCTAAAATTTTGTCATTGTTTATCTAGAAAATCAATTGTGGCAAATTGAAGGGAGACTCTATCCATATACAGATGGCATGGCCGTTTTCTTTCCATTTCCTTTAATCGCTATATAGGTTAACCCCAAAACTGGGCTTCCCCTGGAGCGAAATTTCCAATGTGTCTTTCAAAAAGCAGAAATTTATAATCAAACCCGTCGACAAATCAAGCAAAGTAAGTGATTTGTATTGAATTTAAGATATGCGCCTGTATTTCACGACTCAGTTTGGATATCCCAGGAAGAACGATGCTGGATTGATGAATCTCGATCCACTTTGGTCACTCCAGTTTTCAGTTCTCGAACCGGTGGTTCCAGCTGATGGAACCTAGTTTATCGAGGATAAAGAGAATAAGGTAATGAGAGTGACGCTTAGGAGAAGACGGTTCAATATGTGCATTGGTCAAAAATAGTTAACGTGTCCATTATGGCAGGAAATGAGAGTTATGCAGTGAAGGCGATAGCTATAATACAAGAATGCCAATGGATGCGTGACACACCTGTCAGGATCACCAACTAATAACCGCGGCTCCAATTCTGAGAGACAGCAGTTATCAAAGTGACTGAGTTGACTGCGAGCCTCTGAAGAATAACGACGTGCTTAGTGTCAAATTCGTCAGTTACGCCTCCAGTCTGTAGAAGACTACGTTTCTGAAAGAAACATTATGTTGATTTCAGTAATCCACGATTCCTTAAGTTTAAGGAAGTGCATCAAATATTTATAGAAACCCTAAAAGCACCCATATATGTATATTGGCCTTTATCCAACTAAGAAGGAGGTTTCTATGATTTGTTCGGTGGCACTGAGATGCTGTTTCTAAGTAGTACAAAACCTAAGCGAAACAGAACTACATAATGTTGAATGGCCGTCAACGTAATAGTGGGATTTTTGTGAAGGAAGCTAACTAAGGTGGCGGAGACTTTAGCACATCTGCTTGCCAGTGTTTCTATGATACATATTTTCTTCAACCCCTATCTCTGCGTTTAAAAATGAAGATAGCCCTCTTTACTTGCCTAGGCTCTCGACCAATGAAAATGACCTTTTCTGGCCATTCACCTTACGCTTAAGAGTTGTGATCTGCTTCACATACAATGATTTATACCAGTGAGGTCTTTGTAACCAGTGAGTGGAACATAGGAATAATTTTTATCTAAACCCAAAGAACGATGCAAACATATGCTCATGTCACAACGCTGTGGGCCAACAACAAATAAACCAGAAGACTTCAGGTCACGGTGAACACAACAAGTGCTTAATTGAGTTTACTCTGATTCCACGCTCAGCAAACCAAAGACGGTTTTCACATAGGATTTGGCCTGAGATATCTCTTCTTGATGTCTATTGGCACAGCTTTGAAGTCAAGGATTCGTTTACAGTGGTTCCTTTGGTTAATAGCTCCTTTCTTCCCAGCATCGCCCTCCTATTGACTACTCAGGCTGAACCTCCGTCGCAGAAGTTGATGGAGTCTAGGCGCTGCAGCTAAGGTAAACGGTTTCAGAAGCACCTCTAAACTAATCTCACCGGTTTCGGGGGTATGGGGTTTGTGCATTAGTCCGCCAAGTTTGGTTTCCGCATCAAATTGACTAGGATGTACCAATCTAAGTCTTGCGTTACAATTTGTCACCGGCAAAGATGCTTCTTTAGTAGGCTCTTGCTGTGGTAACGAAACAACTATCTGATCATCACTGAAGGAGCCTGTGGTCGATGTGTGGTTGATTTGTTCCCCAGTTTCATGCGCCGATATCCGAATTACTTTTTTGCTGACCGAATAGCATCATGCAGTTTTCAAAGCCTTTTTGGGGGGCACTACATTAGGTAAATCAGGATTCGGCGTTGATACAGCGATTTCAGCAGAAAATTTGCAAGACCCAAACACTGTGGACCCGATTTATGATGATTGGCCGTGTGGACGAGAGGACGAAGAGAAGACACATTTTACACCATTATCTCGGTAAAACCCTGTGAATACCAATGTCATTTAATTGATGTGGGATACAATTATCTCTGGAATCCAACAGACATCTGTGTTCCAGGCGTGTAGTGGCAATTATGGGACTGCTCACTTGGAGGATTCCTGGATACCTGCTATAGGCATCTACTACAACCAACAAGAGTCAAACACCAACTAGACCTTTACAGTCAATGTGTAAACAAGACCAGGGTTCATTCGGTTTTAGTCAAGGTAGATGTGTTTTGAGGGTGATTTTGCTGTTTTCCTATATCCCAAACCAGTTTTGGACACCAGCTCAATCCTTTAGTTCATCAGGGGCTAGTTAGCATAATACTGTGCATGGTCCCCATTCCGTTTGCCCCCGGTTATTCATTATTGAACTGTTTCATTGAGGCTGACTGTAGCTCCCTTGGAGTTACAACACGCTCCGAAAACGAAATGCCTCTGTCGGCCAGTGATAGTGCGTCAAACAGGTTGGACGGTTGACTTCAGCATAGAATGTTCATCAGTAACCCGGCGGGACGTCGGCTTGCGTCACTAAGTCATTCACTTCTGGCTCAAAAACAACTATTGTGACTAATGACGTCACTCTCTTGGAATCATTTGGGTGCAGCGTTGCATCAGCTTGTCCGAGGCCGGTGGCAGGCCGGTACTGAATCTTGGGGTCATATCATAGAAGCGGATTCGCCAATTGGTGTAGGCCTACTTCCCTGCGATCAGCTAGTGTCACGGATCTGTGGGAAGTTGCTTTCTGGCTGATTCCGCGGGGTCTTTGAGGTCACTGAGCCAGTGTTGTAGTTCGGAGGCTCCGATAAGACAGCATGAGTACTGCCACGACTATAGGCGCTCGCATATGTTCAATGGAGTCAAAGTTATCCGTTTCCGGTCAACGGTCATGTTTGTCATCGGGGAAGCCAAGGCATTGTATCGATCACATGAAGAATGTGACTTTTCCCGGTACAGTGTGTTCATCTTGTCCATAATTTATTGAAGTATGGCTGGCGCCAAATAGCGATGGAACATATTAAAGCACACCGCAGTGTCGGGTAACGGTCAAACTCTTTGGGTATTCTACCGCAGGCCCGCCTCACCCAGTGAAGCTTTCGCAAATCATGTTCCTCATTGGGTTTTGCGAAAGACATATTCTGAAGAGACCAGGGTACTGATACCAAATCAGAATTACATTGAAACCAGTGGAAATGTCCACATAAATGTGGGTGTTTCCGTTGTTCCTGCCCATTATGCTGATCAGTGCGGGCCTTTCCAAGCAGCACCAAAATGCTCCATACGCGAATCTACCCGGCATATCTCTAAATATTTTAGCCGCACATCCAGATTTTCTGAACAAAGACACATTTCCCCCAATCTTCAGACACGGAATAAAAGCGTGGATTTAACTTCAAAAACAAACAGATCCCTCATTCTTATCAGGAACATTACCTACGGATGATCGCATAACTGGGAACCAAGTAGCTACGGCGGAGAACAATCAAATTCTTTAGGATCTCTTTGGATGTGGGGTTAGGTGCATATGACCCACAAGAATGACCACTATCCCCTCAGGGCCCACCGGTTTGCTCCAAGTCCTGCAAACGTGCCGCAACATCGCAGATGGCTGATGACCACAAGCTCAACTGCATACAGAAATATCAAGTGAAATCAACGTAGAGCCGCCAACCAATTCACTAGATCTTCTGAAATGTCACTTACACTTTCCTTCATCAGCGGACGTGAAACAGAAGGTTGAATTGCGTTTTCTAAAAATTGGGGGACCATTACAAAAAGGTCCTTTTGCGAACGCCGTAGCGCTACAAAAAGAAGGTCTGCGGGCCCCGTGTGCGAAATGTTGTTCCTGAAGTTCACACGGGATCTGACCGCTTATAAATAAGTTTCTAGAGTCGGATTCACTGCTAAGTGCATCTCTGTGTGAGGCCGCTACATTGTCGAGATGGTGTCTGACACATAAGGTCCTGTTGTCTAGCAAGCGTTCCGGGGTCAAAACTGTTCCTTCATCTGTGAGTCACACTTGGCATGCAATTCCAAATTGTTAGTATCAGCGGACCGGAATAACACGTGCATCTTCAAAGAATTGACAACGTATGTTCCGAAGATTGGGTGAGAATAAACTGTCGGCACTACATTCCATTTATCAAAAGAATACAGCAGCGGAGTAGAAATAAACTCACTGGAACATCGAAACATTTGCACGCAATACGACCCAGGGACTGAGTGAACATACGTTCACAAATTTGAAGAGTACGGAAAATATGCATGTCACAAGAATAATTAGCCAGCGTAAAATATGAGGAAAAACAATCAAATTTATTAAAACGGATATAGAGGACCGAAGAGTGTACCGCACTAACCGCTATCAGAAAAACGGCTTCGGTTTGTTCAAAGCAACAGAGGCGAAGCCAGCAGAAAGTAAACCGTCAGCTGGAATAGATGCATTTCTCTCACACGGCAGACAGTTCGGCACATCCTTGGAGGTAATGTGGTGTTATATCTGGACAGAAGGTTTACGTGGCCCGGAAATTTCCCTCCTCAATTTACCTATAAAAAGACTCTAATGCAAACGTGGAAAACAAACCCAATCATCCGTGTACCATCACATCTTCCGCAAATGCACCAGGCAATGTATGTCGTATGCATCAGCACACCATATATATATATATATATATATATATATAAAGTTCTGGACAAAACCACGTAATGCTTTGCGTAAAGTCAGCGTAGCCAGAGTGCAAAATGGGGCGGGAAAATATAAACACTACAATGAACAACTCCAGAAAATTTTCTGTAAACGGCAAGGACAAGAGATTCTATTTAGGCAAAAAAGGTTTAATCCGTGTGGCTTTCCAGGAATCACTGTCCTCAGTGGGGTGACAACGACTTTGGAACTCGTTAGAGGTGGACAGGAGCCGACTGATCTCTACAATAGCATGAAAAAATGATACGTTGGACCACCAAACTAAAACCTACGCTTTTACTTGATTACATATGGGCATACCATGTGCGCATAATCAAATGAAGCAGACTTGAACATTCCAGCTGGTAGCTGATAAAATGGTGAAGCACCAATACGATGAGCTATATTTGGTTTTAAACCGAAATTTAGCTTCCACCTTCAAACTGGCGTCTAATGGTGGAAAGTCAGTGTTTTCTCATTTTAACTCTACGGACTACACAGTTATCGAAGTAATCAGAATACCCACTGATTCGCTTAACAAGCAGCCTAATTGGTATGTCCTTACTGATGCGCGACATATGTACGGGAACGTGTTGACCATCGGAAAATTCCGATCTAGAACTGAATACAACTCACTAACCGTTTCCCACTTTGACACACCAAAGTGCACTTTCCAATTATTCCAAAACAACCGCCAAAGCAGGCCAGATCGGTTTTTTGTTGACTCCTAGAGGTGTACACCTTAGATATTAGAAATGACATTCGGTAGCAGTGATTCACGGTGTGTGAGTCAGTAATCAGTGGAAAGAACGCCGAAAAACCTGGCCGAGGTGGCTATATGTGTACCGGGGTCAAACCTGGAAGAACCAGTTTGAACATGTCCTGAAGCAGGGGTCAGAAGTTTGACCAGTAAGAAGATTAAGTTTTAACCGCGGCTGCCTCAGCTGAACAAATAGAAGGCTGGCTGCTTGTTTCTGGACACTCAATCTCTGAGTCAGTGATTCGATGAGATTCAGTTATTTCCTCGAATTGCTTATGCCGCCTTTGTACTTATTCTTGGAGCTAGTGTGATTCAGTAAGTAACACTAATCCTCGCTCTCCAAGTGAAATGACAGTTGGGGCTCAACTAAATTCATGGTATAATAATTCAGGGGTAACTTTTTAAGCAGAACAATGATCATTAGGGCACCTTGTGTATTGAACAGTGAAACCAAGTCAAAAACCCATGTGAATCGCTTCGTATTTACAGTTTATGTAACGGCGAATTTCCAGAAATTCGTATGCTTTCTAGACGCGCCGATGGTGCCCGGCGTTTAGTGGATACTGCAATACTTTCACTGTTGAGTCCATGTTTTCGACCGGTGTTGGCCAATTAACGTATGGGTATTTTCAGTGCCTACCCTCAAGTAAGGCGGTTCAGGCGTAGGATTCCGCCTGACAAAACCTGTTTTAACTAGTTCATGTTATTTGATGACGGATATCTGACTTTTAAAGTAAGTTGATGTAGATATCAAACTGTGTGGAAATAGAGGACTTTATTTTGTTCCTGTATGTCGCCATCTGAATATGAAGTGGCAAGCCGAACCAAGACTATCACTTGACATTCACGAAAGATTTTCATGTGCTTTCCCGTAATTATGGCATGGAATGTGTGTGAATGTCGGATTATTGCTGTTGGTTTCTCATTTACAGTTGGCTGTATCATTGCGGTTACTAAGGTACTGGGTCTAAGCAGTATACACTGACGGGTTTGAGTCCATAGCTCATTATGTTGGCTTCGATTGACTTACTGGTGTCTGAGGTCATCAAGGGCCTTATAGCATCCTTCTAATTCGGTGTTTTCTAGAGCAGAATTCTCTCACGCAAAAATGATTAACGTTATTTAGGATTCATCAGTGTTGATGAGAAAGGTTAATCTGGTAAGACCAAAGACTTGGCGTTGTTTTCAAACAAATGAGCTTTTTTGAGCTTAGAACTCATTCTTAAGCATTTTAGTAAAATCAGAAATGGACAGGAATTAAGATCTTGCTAGAGAGAAACCTTCAAATTTCAGAGTTTTTTCTTATGTTGAATAAAGGGATTTTCGGGCGCAGCTCGTGAAAGCGCTGGCTGACAAATGATCACACCAAAACACTAATAGGTAAGCATCCGTAAGATTTTGGGCACTAGCATGTATGTATGTATGTATAGGCCACCAGGGGTTATCAGCTTCATCAAATGAGCTGATATGACCACTAGAAATATGGAATACTTGTCAACCGAATCTTTTAAATAATACCAATGTGTGCTGAGCCAGAAGATTTAGGAAAAATTACGTTAGACCGCTTTAACTTCTCCACTTGGACAGGGACGCTCCCAATATCCAGAGACTGAGACATATGCCAGTGTTTTCAGTCCCTGTGAAAACTTCTGGTGACCGATCGAATGTGGTCCTCTTCTCACAAAATAGAGAACAAAGAAGAGATGAAAAATGTCTTCTGTATGAACGTGGGATCATGCCAGTGGTGTTTCCTCAATGTCCTCAGTTGGTGTGCTGTGCGACACTTGTCTCATCGTAGTCGAAGACGATCTCCGGTCCACAAGTAGTTTGAGTGCGTGCAAACACACTAAACCCAGCACTGATTGACACTAGTATAAAGCTCTTGATAAACGCTCTGTATTCCACAACATTTCCGTGCCCTGGGAAGGTTTGTATCAAGAAAATGACATGCTTTTAACAGTGTAGACAATAAACAGCAAATTGGACGCTACTAGAACAACGGAACAGGAAAGAGGTGATCGGGCTGTAGTTGCAGATCAGAACGGTCAAAGTAGCGTAAAGTGTTCATAAAGGAAGAATACTCAAGGTTGCTTAAACATCTCCGACAGTCCACGATCGGTTTCGCCTTTCTTGGGGCTCATCAGGTAGGCACAGTCCCCGAGTTAATGTCAAACTTATGTTCAACTTGAACTCGAATTGGACAGATTTCGACGAATACTCTTATTTGCATATCAGTTTAGTTATATCGGGAGACTTAGTTGAATCTCTCTTTAACTGAACGTGCTGCACAAAGACCAGCTCAGTTGGTACGGTATTCGATATATCGCAATATATTTTCATAAAGAAAACCGCTCACAAGTTTTATGAAACCCTATGACAGCCTAACGTTTCTTAAAGTTTTCTCTATGGACGGACGTTCAAGAGGCGTAAATGGTTGTGCGAAAAAGTGAATGAGTTTTTTCATGTGAAAATACACTATTTGGTATTGTTTTTAGATGGGGTGAATGAGATGGATACAACTGTAACGGGACGTGCAACCACACGGATGGTATGTCCTTTCATCTGCCTGGTCCGTTAAGTAGGTGGAGAAATAATGGAGATTCGTTTTAGAGACGATCTTGGTGATTCCGCATATCATGACTCACCACAGCAGACCAATGAAAAACCATCGGATAATCAGCGAACAGACTACGATTAATAGGTTGCTGAATCATCCTTCAATCTGTCAAACCTCATTATCTACCTAGGCTGAATAACTTCTAGTCGTCTAGCTTTCTTACCACTATTTCATTGCAGTCAATTTGTCTTATGAGAACCATACGGTCAAATAATTCGATCGATGATTTTATACGTGTTCGCTGCTGCATATACTACTCGGATGTCAAGCTGGTTCAGTATAAGTCTAGTACCGTTAATTTTATTACTTTTGAAGTGCGTTGCTATCTGAAAATCTGCTCTTCGTCATATGTTCTGCACTCTAGATCGTTATTTTGTACCGAAAATGAAACCGAGTAGCTCATTTTAAACCTCGGAATTGCTTATCAGCGGTTAGCTACTCTATCTGTTTACGCTGGATTTCCAATTGACATTCTGTACTCAGATGCATAAGTGTTGTTTACCCATCCCTTGGGGTTCACATTAAAAATAAATCTCGAAGAGCTGTTAAAGCAAAACGTCTCCCTGTTGATACAGATAGTTAAATTGACATAGTAGATGGAACCACTGTTATGGCAGATAAAATTAGTCACTTCTGTAGGGTTGTCTCTCTTGAAAGCGGTTTCAACACGGGAGGACAGAATTTCATTACAAGCAAACTCATTTGGTCCGAATAAGTGAACTACGCTGAACAAGTTGTTTATCGTGTACTGCTTCCGTTTGGTGGCTTACTTCCGATGACCAGTGCCATAATTGGATATGATGGAAATACACTAGTCCTCTATGGGTTTCATGGAATCTACGCAACCATTGAATATGTGTTCACAAAAGACGAAAGCGGTTTGTTTAGACTTGTTGTTTGGATAAAATCTATGCACATCGTAACGGTAGACCTATGAATACACATTTTTAAGCTCAGCGTAGGATCATGCGCCAACCACTCCGGAATTTTCGCTTTCAGGACATACCGTAATGAGTTGCTGGTTAATTTTACGTAGAAATTCATTCCGATTAGTTGTGGTTTTTCAGTAAATGCGGAGATTAAAGAATTTCCCCATAGCAGAGGGTACATCAAAGCTAGTTCTTTCAGAACTACGTCACTGAAACACTGCTAAAATCAGTTTGGATGAAGTGACATGCGTGCCTGTGGTATCCTCATCATAGTTACAGTGACAGTTACAGTGGTAAACACAGTGATAAATTCTTAAGTAGATTTAAAAAAACGCGAAACAAAACATAAGCTAATTGACTCAGGAAAGGAATGTGGAACTTCACTCTGTTTGTGATACAGTTTGTTAGAAGTGACCACTCTGTAAGTGCACAATTAGCACTTCCGTCTTGTGAAGAAAGGTTCAAACTTTATCAGAGTGGAACCCCAAGTATCAAATAATAATTGACCAAAGCGGACTGAATCAGACGTATTATCTGTGTATACGCCATACAGTCGGTCAAGACAAAAATGCCAACTACTTGAAAGTATCATTTGATAATGAAAAATCTACGTCATCTGGAAGAAGAGAGTAGAGTTTCAGCGCCTCATTATAATCAAGACAGTTTAAAACTTCCATCTGAGAATAATTAAATTAGAGCTGTTGATACTTTGCGTTATTTCAGTTCGCCATTCTTGGTAGGTAGTCATCGCCGTGTATTTCTGGTTAACGTGAGTTCATTGGGTTTACTGAATGGTTTAACTGCATGCTAGTTACGACCAACGTTTTTCCAAGTTTCGGATGATTCTACCCAACCCAGAAACCTTTACCAATCCACGAAAAAATTAGCCCCCAATGCTCTGTCCTTTTTAGAACTTGACTTTTTACTCTGATCATGTGAAACTGAATCAAAGATTACTCAGTCTTTGTGTGGGTACCCACGAATTATATCTTCGTCGAAGAAGGCAAGAACCGATTGAAGTGCAACACATGCGAGCCCAGGCAAATGCCGAACGTGCAATCAAAATGAAAGAACGGTAAGCAGTTTCTACACCACCTGTGTTTGTTAGAGCCTTGGAGTGCAGGCGTCTAAGGGCGCAACTCTGCGCATTGTCCGCTTTAGAAAAGCTAACACCTCCAAAAGTGGACGATTCTATTTGATTCTGCTTGTGTTCACGCTTGTAATGGACCACTGAATCTACAAAACACTAGACGGTTCACGAGAAGCCACACTGCACATCCGGAAGACGCCAGAGTAGATAAACTTTCCTTTATGCAATACAAGGGAGAACTTATCCAAAAGCGCAGCGATCGAATGTATTCCGTCGAAAGTACACTGAAAAACGTAGGGGACAAATTATGATGAAACATTGTGGAAGAAATCGTTAACTAGCATTCGTGATCTATTTACCTCGTAAAGTGAAACGGTTTTCGTTTTCGAAAAAAGTTTGGTGACAATGGGTAGATTTATTGCTGGGCAACGTTTGACACAAAAGCTTCGTCAGGCCAAGTGACTACGTTCCGAGGTTGGTCGAGATTTAAGGCGGAAGGAGAACCAATCAGCTAAGTCAAGCTAAATCTGTGTTGGGTGTCGGCTTTATTCGGTTTTATTCGTGAGTATTACTAGCACTAGTAAATTAGTATGACATACTTAACAAAAACCCTAGGTTTGAATCAAATGCCTCAGCTCGAGGTTTTCTCTTACTTTGTAGTTCAAATAAAATAAATTGATCAAGGCTTGCACAAGCGCCATTGATGGTGCGACTGTCCCACTTCTGACAATGTCTTTAAACATTGGTGTGTCACTTCGAGCCCGAATTGGTGCTCGTGTATCCAAGCCGTTGTCTTCAATGAATAGCCCCCTCCCCATGCTCCTCACTTAAAAGTCCACTGACAGTCCTGTATTTACGCACCAGTTTATCAGTTATCGCCTCCAATTCGCAGCTACCTACTACACTTCCCCAAATCATCGGTGAACAAAACTGTGACAGCTATGATCACTGTACGATAAGTATGCAGTTCTTGAAGCTGATATTGATAACGATAGTGGTGATCAAAACCTAAATTTCTAATCACAATGCACGGAATAAAAGACGGTCATAGTCGACTATTTAATTTATTCTCATTATTACCCGAAACTACTAAACTACCCATGATTGCCTACGTTTTTGCTTATACTGCTACGGTCTTGATAAATAATGAAGCTTCATGAATTGCCCAACTACATCCGGATTTTCATAGTCCGCTGAAGAACCCTTGCACACATCCCATCCATTTACAGTATCTACAGAGCCTGACTGAGGCTCTAGTTCATTCTCACCAACTTCCAAAGCCTCAACAGACTAGATACAATCATACAAATCCAGTAAAGTCTCACCTATCATCAGTTATTTGTCCGGCTGTCACTGCTTCCACTCCAGTGAATAATTACTTCTAATTTCCTTCCCCTCACTCTGTCTTCGGTGTCACAGACACTGATGTTTCCCCCATAAATAAATCACTGATGAGCCATGCTCTTTGTTTTCGGAGAGGTAATAACATAAAATGATTCAAAAGAACATGCAAGGCATAGCAGTAAAGCCTGCAGACAGCTGAAGTAAACTGGCCAATGCCTTGGATGAAACAAAGGAGGAACCGTGGATGTATACCAGAATCGGAGACTAAACTTGGGAGATTCTCCGTGGGAATATCAAAAGATGGCATCTTCAGTGACACTTACTATTGTACGTTGCCTATCCTGCAATGCGTGCATCTCTGTCCCATAGTCGGACGTTCTTGAATAAAATTTTGCACTAGTTAAGCAGGCTACACGGCGCCTGATTGTCGTTGCTTTTATTTATAGTGTTGAAACAACGGTGACAGATATTCTTTCTCTGCTTAAAAAGACCAATTGATCGTTCGAATCTCACGATGGAAATCAAATTTACATGTTTTGAATTCTTCTGTAGAACTGAGTCACTGCAGCAATGTGTGAGGTCCACTGGGTGGGACGGTCTCCAAACTCTGATTACCTAAAGGTGAACATTGATCAGTTGTATAACGAAAGGGAAAAACTTGTTCGTATCAATGAACATCTTCCTTTTGTTTGGAATAACTGAAACTCACACAGTGCCATGCAAAAATTTCTCGCAGCTGGTTTGCTATATACTTCTTTTTGGCGACTTTACAAGAATACAGGGAACTCTGCCATCGTTCAGGCTTTCTAGGAACCCACATTCTCACTGGTTTCATCTTCCCTTCGGTGCCAAGTATTTTTCTGTTCAGAATTCCTCCAAGAAAACGATTATCATTCAATGCATATGTTTCAGTAAGTTCTCCCTACGTTCCAACAGTATTAGGACCTACTTGGCTGAAATCCATTGTACGTTACTGCAGTGATTATGTGTCGTATGCTGCGGTACTAGGTACCATTCTACCTTGATAACTCAGATAGCTGCTTCGTAAGAACGTATGTTTAAATTTCGCAATTTCGTAAGCGCATGGTACTAAGTAACATACTGAATGACACTTGTATTGGCATCCTTACCTAACTCTTTTTCCGGAACCTGATATTCACAGACTGAATGCACAAATTGTGGCCAACTTCAGCATTTTATTGCTCCATAAGTTGAACAAAAAACCAGAGCGATGGTGGTCATTTCAGAGTGATAAGGCTCGGATACGCTTCTAACTTATATTTGCAGCGTACGAAATCACCAGCAAGACTAGTTCAATTTGCGGAAATTACTGAACCATCACAGCGGTAAATGTGACTGGTTACCAAATTATCTGGGTAGTTACATTCCGACGTAAAATGATGGGTGATGATTTCGAGAAATACACTCATTTGCAAATCAATTTGGTTTTCACGGGAGACTCAATTGAATCTCTAGTTTATGATGCCCTCCAACTGAATGTGCTGCACACAGGCCGCCCCATGATTCAGTTGGCACGATATTCGAGATATCACAGTATATTTTCATAAAGGAAACTACTCACAAGTTTGGTGAAAACTCTTCGACAGCCCACGACCGGTTTCGCTCTTCTTGGGGCTCATCAGGTAAGCGCAGTCTCCAAGTTCTCGTCAACCTTATGATCTACTTGAACCCAAATTGGACTGTTTTTGAGAAATACACTCATTTGCAGATCAATTTGGTTTCCACTGAAGACTCAATTGAATCCCTCGTTTATGATGGCCTACCTGATGAGCCCCAAGACGGGCGAAACCGGTCGTGGGCTGTCGAAGAGTTTTCAGCAACATTGTGAGTAGTTTCCCTTATGAAAATATACCGTGACAAGATGAGTACTTACTTTTCCAGAAATTAGTTGCTTTTGCGACTCCGTCCTGTTATCGCCAAAGGTACACGGATTGTTTTTGTACTGAGATTCAAAATGCAGCAATATGCATTATTTTACGTTCGTCCTGAGCACTTGAGTGAAAAAATGTTCACCTAGGCTTCATTAAAATGCAGATTTGGTGTATTTTTTCGGGATAAAGCTCAAGTCACTTAACTCTAACTCTGTCCGTCCTTTGGTCAACAGCGAACGCCTATTCAACGCCATCCGCGCACAACACGACGCCGAGAAACAGCTGGGGATGTTAGAAGCTCAAATGGCAAAAGAAATAGCCGAGGAAAATCGTGTCCGTCAGCACGCTGTTGAGTTGGGTGAGAAGGTAAAAGAACTGGAACGACAATTGTTGGAAGAGACCAAATTGCGAGAAAAGCTGGAAGAGTCCAAGAAGAGGTTAGAAAGCCGAACACGGGAACTGGAAGAAGTATGAAATGCTATGTTTGCTATGCGTATTGTATTTTATGTAGTTTTGGCAATATGTGATGCTTGTATAGTTGGCATAAATTTGATTTTACCTAGAAGCCGAGCTTCCTTCTTAAACCTTTTGTGATAGCCTCAGGGACATTAACTGGAAAATCAAAGAGTCCTCACTTTCTCTAACGCAACGGCTGATATTTCGGGACATATGGGGGGTGGTATGAAGCTACTTTCTGGAAAAATGTCAACTGCAGCCACGACATTCCTTACTGAGTGAGAATGGTGAACAGTACGAATCTAGAGAAATACACAGGGGTAGTTTATCAGCCTCCCCGGAAAGCTTAACACCTGAACTTCCTTCAATGGAATACAGTTCTACCGGTAGTGCTGGCTCCAATGCGGGTAATTTGGTTGTAAAATGCCTGCACTTAATCGAACATAGACCTGTTCAGCAGTAGAAAGAAACTGCTCGAGTCCGGGAAAATGATCGAAGTGACAAATTGTACTGTCTACCACCTAACATAAATTGAGGGAACAGTTCATCCAGGTTCTACACTGTATTGGTCAATGAAGAGGCATAAAGTGAATGGTATGGTATAATTATTCACATTGTTAAACCGAGGGTGTAACACTGACATAGACTTCTTATGAATATGTGTTACGGGTCAGAGTCACGATGCTCAAAGATAACAAATAGCGAGCATGTGATTTCAGCTGAAAGGACCAGAAGTTGTTTTTGAACTGCAGTGATGCCTATATCTTGGAGATTAGGGAGCTACTTGAAGTCTATTTATTATTGGAAAGGTGTGAAATGTCTTAACATGTTGTTTACAATAATGCAACAGTTTATAGTTCCTCTTCAGCATTTATGTCTGATGCAAAACATGTTACTCTTAAGTTATGTGACCGCGTTAATACAGAAGGAAGTCTTGCAATAACTAATGAATACCTTCCAACAACCAAAATGCCCAAAGGTTGATCCACTTCCTCGCAAGGTCTCGCTATGTAGCCAGGCTGTTCGAATCGAAATCTTTTATCTCTACAATAGTTACGCGGGGATCAACTAACCAGTGGTTAGTAACACTGACAGAAATAGCCAAATCGCTCAATCAGTGGTGTCTATGCATTAAAGCGATCGTCTTCAATGTGCAGTCACCCAGCTCCCAAACTAACTGAAGCTGTGATCGGCTAAAATGCTAGGCTGTATCTCCCATGCTGTTCCACTTCCTATGATCGAAACTGTAGCAGCTGGAACCATTCCACCTATGGTACATAGTTTATAGTTGGTGAATTGAACTGGTTGTTAAGTTCAACATAATAGTACGTGAAGAAGTGGACCACCCAGTCATCGGTAGTCATAACCATACAACCAAAGGTCCCATTTGGGGAGTATTCCTTCGGTGTGTTCATGGGAGGGCCGTATTCTGCTTAACACCTTTCCTATAACTTTACAGTCACGATAGGCGCTTCCTCAATCTTAACATGACACTGCTGATAGTTAGCTGACAGACATCAGGGTTTCTCTGGAAAAATCATTTTTAGCACAATACCTGATGCATACCACACCACCTCACGAGCTTTATGAATCGTTCTGCTTCAGCTTTGTCGGACTTTCAATAATGAAGATAGAAAACTCACGAGTAAATTAAAGGGAACACCCACCAGTGTAGAAACTTGGCGTTATGCTTGCTAGTGCTAGGCTCATGTACTTTTGGTCAGTGGAACAACCGTACTCCTACGATCCTTAGGTAAATCTGAACCCCCTCATCGAAGTTCTTAGGTTTCAGGTAGAAATTCAGTGGAAGTGTCACCCACGAAACCATTTTACCTGGTTTGAGTGACGAATCACACCTAGGGCTATGGCGAATCAATTTTACTGAGATTTCGATAAACTTAATCACATGTCTTGCAGTTATTATTCAAAATGACTCCTCATATGAAGCCAACACAAGTAATCGGGCGAAAGAGTTTTAGTGTTCTGTCACTTGTATACCAGCCAGAACAATTTATTGTAGGTTGCACAACTGTGAACAAACCAGCATTTATCATTACATCTTGAGCTGTCCTCAACACCAAATATGGCTTTCGGCTACTAGCTCTCACTAAGGGAATTTCGAAGGGCTTCCATACAAACAGGAAGAACTGCCACAATATCCGACAGTGCCTCTTCTTGGAGTGCAGTGAAACCTGAGGGATGTCAACAAGCCCACTAAAGCAATCTCCAACCTGACTTCGACAAAAACAACTCAACAGGCGTAGGCGATGAGCGACGGAATCAGCCTCGAGTCCAGTCAGTTTGTGTGGTTTGTGATATGGTGAGTAGACCGACAGTGAAACGACCAATCACTGGGATAGAATTCATATGCGCAGAAAAGCAGACCAATGAAACACCAAACCAAGTTATTAGACGGCATATCCTCCAACCACATGCATCATAGCTTCTTTATGCAACCGTCCTCGAGCTTCCATACAAGACATCTAATGCAGAACGGCTATGTAGGCTTTTTCCGCCATCTGGCAGCAGGCATCTAGAATAATACCCTATGACCAGTAGCGTAGTGCGACAAGCGCGTGTTGGCTGTTGAGAGACGACTGCAACCTAGTGTATCCTATCGACCGTGTTGTGACCCGTTTACCAGACACCATTGGTGGGTGTGCGGACGTACAGAGTGTACAAGGTCCGCAAAACTCGATGACTCCGCCTCGAAATAATGGGTAAGTGAAAAGATAATCCAATTTTATGGTAATTTGGGTGATCAATAGCTGCTTCTGGCTTTGATTACACCTCCATCCTATTAAAATGCCTACTAAAATGGGTGAAGTTTTGCCATCCACATGCGTCCAAGAAGCTCACACACCCATAGGCTGTATCGTAAAGTAGATCCCATCGCCATTACCAAGACAGATACCCTTGTAGCTCTATCGAACCGGAAACTAACTGGCATATCTCTAACTCACAAGCCAGCATTCTGAGTGGTTTGCCCACAGCCCAGAAAGGTCGGGCCCGGGTGTCAGCTTGAAAAACAAGATGCCAGACGGAAATATTAAAGTGAATTTTGATTCCCGAGCACCTGTTCTTGTCTGTGAATTCAGCTGCCAGATGCCATAAACTCACTGATTTACTGAAAATATGGTGTCCACAGACTGTCCAGAATTCATTACAAATCGCTGACCAGTTGACATAGAACAGCACACATTGTGAAATTTTGTGAAGTAGCCGGTTAGCAAAAGTTGTGTACTGCACATTTTACTCCAATTTTTTACGTAGCTGTGCACCACAGTACTTGGAGCCTCGATCTTGACCCCACACGTAAGGTAATGTACCGTGACAGCGTAATCGAAACATGACATACCTCTTCTCATGAGATCGGCAATGGACGTGGTGATTCCGAAACCTTCGACAGATCATTGGTCGTTGGCCGGTTTGTCTGATGCTGAACATTGCAATGTGGTAAGATCCAAGTAACAAGTCCAGTGTTCCACGGGTGTGTGCTACATTGAGCGATATGTTGGCTAAGCGCGTGAGAACCGATGTTGACTGCGCTTCCCATACTCTGGTTGAAAGGTCATCCACTGTCCCACAAAATCCTGTTCAGGCAGGTCATCAGCGTTGTACTGAAACTGTAACCGTGCCAGCGTCAGTACGATAGACTATTGATTCACTGAACAACCTGGCCCGATCCCAAAAATTTAACCCATCGATTCCAAGACCGCCGAACCTCGTTTCCACACTAGTCCACAACGTGAGGTCAATAGATCTGAAAACAAGCTCAGACTATGGCCGTGGTTGCATGTTCCCCAGCCTTTCCCCTTTAGGAATCATGAAACTAGTTTATATACACTGATTACCAAAACATCAGCAGTGTATTATCCAATGAGTGTGATGTTGAGTTTTCCTGAACAATTCCCGTCTAAGAAGAAACTTCAATAAAACGAAGACCGGGTTTTATACGATATGCATTGAAAGCGATATGGTATTTGAGGTCGTCTCTTTTTCATTACACTGAACATTCAGCGTGCATATCACAAGTTTTCTCATGGGTTAAAAGTGTGGGTTTGTAGTGACTCATTGGCCCCAACATGTCTAATTTATTTGCATGGCTCTCATTCCAAAACACACTATCATCATTTTCACTGTCAAACTCGGCGAGCAGACCAACAACCAAACAGCGTACCCAAGCTACTTGCATTCCACAACATTGCTAATATATATATATATATATATATATATATATATATATGCTGCACCACAACATGAACGTTGCCAGCTGCTCTGGGCCTTCTTCACTGACTCCACTCTGACCTTCAACTTAGTCAGGGTGAAACAAAGGCGTATCATCGCTCCCGCTCCAAGTGATCACTATCTAAGGGACATCATGGGTGTAGCTTTTGTAATACCTATATGCAATTCGAGTAACGGATTCCTGGATATCTGTTCAGCATTAGTGGTAGAAGTAGTCTTTTCTACCAAACTGATGTTCGCATTCTCTTGTTTGCACTTAACTGTGTATTATTCACAGATGCACGTGATGTATCTCATAGTTGATAATTTTACGACGTCTGTACATATCACATCTGCTACCTGAGCACCAACACAGAAGAGACTTTCGTTCTTTTTCCAACCTTCATTAAACAGAGTTACCAGCTTTACTGCACGAATCAAAATCAGGACGGTGTTTTGGGACTACTATGTGAACATAGGAAACCCATCGCAGTTGATGTACCGTCAACCGTATCCCGTGTTGCTAAGGTTAGTATGGCTTTTGAAAAAATCGAGAAAAGGGTGTGGAGAAACCGGGCTTGCGTATACGTTACGAAGATATGTAGGTAACGACCACATCCAGTCGTCTCCGGTCGCTAGAACATGTCTACAACATAGGCGACAACAGACATCTAGAGCAACTCTTGTTTGTGCGTTGGAGACAAAAGCTTCGAAATCTAGATGCTTTGGTCCAATGTCTGAATGAAGACAGGTCAGATGGAGCGGAAAGCGTAGGTGCAAAACGGGACGGCTGGGGACGGAGAAACAATGTGAAGTCGTGTTTATCAGCTTAAAAAATCACCACCTAAAAGCTGAAGAGCTGGAGCCCAAAAAACGTCGTAGTCCCACCGGACATATTGAACTTGGAGACTGCACGAACCGGATCTGCGGAACGACATGCGGATAGGTTCTGTGTGCGGTCTATCAGCAGTGCCACTCCCAGTCTATCCGAAACAGATACCGTCTTGTTCAAACACCAGGATATTTTCATCTGTCAGCAAATTGCCGCCTTAAAGCCCCTGGTATTCCTGAGTGCCAAGCCTACAAGGATACTGGGAATTAGTTACTGTGACCATTCTTCAGTGGGTGAACCGATGCATGGTTATCACTAAATGGTCATATGGGTGCAGAGGGTACGTTTCGTGTGCGGTGTGGATGATCAGATAACCCTTTTAATACGCTGTAATTATCAGCTCTCATGACATAAGGGGATTATAAGTCACTCCCCACAGAAAGGCTCTAGAATGTCTGCCTGTTTTTCACCGCCACCTCAGATCTTTTATGCGCCATGTTATGTTGTACTGCATTGTTTAGAGTTATGAATGTTATGTTCCGTGAGCCCAGTTGCAAAGTTTCTGCAATAAGACGGTTCATCAACGCGTTTCAGAGTTGGGTGAAGACCCTGAAAGTATTTGTCTGGTCTTGTCCATTGTTCGGGCAGAACGCTCATGGCTATATATCAGACAGTCCTTGTTGCTTTTATAAGACCCATTAGAATAAGTTACAACTAAGACGGCGACCAGCTGCTGGTCGTTCGGTTTAGTACGATCCTATCAATTCTGGATTTGAACGCAGTTGATCGGTGGCGTTCAGTTGCACCAAGTTGTTTGTCCTCAGCAGAATTGTACATTTAACTTTCCAAACAAAGACACTGCTATCTGAGTTGCTTAATTAGCTGTTTTTTTGCTGACAGTATACTTAGGCTAGTTGTTCTTAGACAAGTCACGTTTGCTCCTAATTCGGGTGTACGACAAGAGGTCCGATAGATTACATTCTTTGTTTTCATTCATTTCAAAACTTAGATGTAACCATTTCAGTCATGCCTAGAAGTGTGCCATTTAAACCTTCGATTTCTATTTTTCCGATAAAACCAAATGATGTCACACGTAGTCATCAGTTCTAGTCTGTTCGTTCTTTCGTCCAGCTCGAACCCTACTTTTGTGCCTAGCTGCCGTATTTCTCGGATGAAGCACGAGGGATAAGATTCCTCCAGTATGCCCAAACCTAAACGTGAGCAGTCGAGATGCCGAGGCTAGGTTCCAACAACAGACATTTTAGCTAGCAAGTTAGCGCCCTAAACACTGAGCTATTCCGAGCTCCGTCAGTTCAGAGTTACCGCGAAATAAACTCTGTCGCAACACTGATGCACAGCCTGAATAAACTAGTTCCTAGTGTCTTTTTTCTTAAATAATAAATGTAACGCTTCGAAACTTTCTTATCGATTAACTTTAGTCAGCAGGGCCATGCTGACGGACAGAATTTTACCACTCGTGTTTCGCAACAATCCTCCGGTCTAGGGTGTGGAATTTATTCGAAGGCCACCTCAAAGTAAAAACTGGGCAACAGACAATAAATGGTCTTGATTTAGCATAACTTGTGAAGCCCTAGGTGCGAATATGTTGTATGCTCTGCCACACCGTCTGACCAAATCTCATCTTTTCTGTTCGGGTCTTTTTACGATCCTAGTAGAGGTGATGAATTACAAGGTTGCCTGAGTAGCGCGCATCCGAGCACTTCCAAACGTTTTTCCCTAGTTATGATGATGGCTGCCAACCAACCTTCTTTAAATTACAAAAACAGGTATTCTCCTTTCCTTTGTTCGTCATTATATAAAAAATGCACTTAGTACTAATTATTTGCCATACCTCGAGACCAGATAGCCTGAACTAACCACACCTTGGATAGGCATGATGAAAACCTGAATAGAACCCAGCCACCTTTCTACATGAACTAAATTTACTGCAGTCACTTTCTAAGGTCTTTTCTTATTGTAACCGCTTTTGCCTCATAAAATCGTGTTACTGTAGCTACCCGTGGAAAGAATTACTCTAGTGGACAAAGACTTTATTTTTTTCATGGTTCTTTTGGCCAAATCATCACACACTCATGAGGAACTGACCAAGAAACACCTACAGCGGTTTTACGGACTTCACGGATATATAGTTCGTAATTAGAGTATGGTTTACGGGTCACTGAGTAAAGCCAAAGAGTTTAATGGAGAGAGTTGTTTGCAAACCAACTAAGAGCCATAGTTGCCGGTCACGTGACCGGGTTCTGATGGGCTCTGCAATCGATAGTAGTCCGGATCATAGTCGGTTCCGTGGCACTTGATATATAAATTGTATCTAACTTAGAGGCGTATTGTTCCTCTACGAGGTGAATAGTTTCAACCAGATGTGACACAAGAGCACTTGAGTTAGTCTTCTTTAAACCATGTCAGAATGATATCTACCTATGTTTATTTATTCCATCCGGCAGACATTTTGTCATGTGAGCAACGCATGGTCTCAACAAAAACTTTTGAAATAGAATACACGGAGACTACTGATGAATGAAAATTGATGCTGCAACTGCAGTCACGTGTGTCATTTGAATGGAATTGCCCCCTGATAACTTGTTTAGTGACCGAGTCAATTTCGAATGAAAATTCTATATAGACACTTTTTCCAAACTGTTTTGTGTAGTGCGGCTTGTTGGTCATACGAGACTATTCTCAGGAATTTACTTCCTATTGTAACCAGGCGATAAAATTTGCCTTGGTTGCACTCTCAGTGAAACTTCCACTTTGAATTTGGCTTTGCCATTGGATAGAATATACTGGACCATCCATATCTGTTTCATGTGGACTTTGCGCTCTGTTGTCCCATCGGCCTTCTTATGAACGTTTACATCGGGAAACTTTCACTCAGTTGTGCTTCACTTCAGCAGTGAACTTGATATTTGTATGAAGTGAAGCGAAACATAGGTTGCACTGATATTGTTCCGGGCAAGTCCAAAGCTATCGCTTGTGTAGCTATAATATAGGGTAGTCTGTCTAACATGCGCTTTTATTTGTTCATTTTCAAGCATGCTCATCACAGGAACAGCTAAGACTGGACAAAGAGGAGGTCTTAATTGCAGCTGTGTTGATCAAATTCATCACTGAAACTGAATCAAAACTTGCAGGTGAAAAGTAGTGGTAGTTTCTTAGGAGGTGCTACAGTGATAATTTCCTTACCACTACACTCATTCATGTCAAAAAACTACTCTATTATTCTCATGAGGGTTTCGTTAATAAAGAGGTAGGTGTCTCCAACAGAATGTTGATATTTGTAACCCTAACCAGCCCATGCGTTAACGTTTTGTCTTCTGAAAGACAATAGAAAAGAGTTATTGTTGTACCAGTCGGTTGGACTGACCCAGAACTACTGGTATCAATGTTTCCTGATTGCTTAAGATGCTGTAATGTTTTGGACACTTCAAGGTCTATCGTTCTCTTTTTCCTTTTTCTGAAAAGGTAGCAGAAATTTCCGATACATATGGGAAGCTGGCGTCTCATACAGGATTGCCAGTTAGTCCACCGAACTGCTTCGCAGAGCAGGATAAACAATGGTTTCCAGGCGGTCAGCTGATCTGACACGTTTGTGTGAGATATAATTCCAAAGGAATAACTACTGTGGCAAACAAAACACGCCTATTGAAGCCACCAATTAGCTCACGCTTGGCTTTATACAAAAGCACATCCAGTAAATATCCGAATTAACCAACAGCAAAAACCACCTCTAAAATAAGAGGATCATTTAGTCAATCAAGGTACTGGGGACATTTGTATCACAAATTCGGTTTCTTGCTGCCTTGTCCTTCACCTCCCTGTTTCTATATAGCCCAACATCGTGTGTTCACTAGACTGCAAGTAGCTTTCTCTTAATGGGAGTAGAAAGACATGTATTGCTTGGATTCTAAGCCAGGAATCTCATGCCACCTAAAAGATTTAACATGTGCCGATTGATGAGTGCTGTGTAGTGTGCTTCCCTTTCTAGATTCATGAATACAAGGTTGGATCGACAGGGCTAATCGTCATACCGGACCGAGAATGTGGGTGGTGGGACTTGTAAGGAAACTTTTTTCCAGCAAGTAGCCTCATACGTTTGTCAAACTTTACACCGACTAGGTGAAAATCACTCCAACCTCAATTAAAAACATCAACCAACCCTCAAAGCACCAGTTTTCCTAAAATTCCTGTCCCAGCTATACACCTTTATCAAGTTAACTCTCAAGGGGATGTCCCTGAAAAGTAGCAGTCCTAGTTGGGATGAGCAGGAAACTCTGAAACTGAGATGAGAACTTCTGTCAGTCGCGATCCATGCAGGCTAGGAGCATGGTAGATGAGCAAAACTTACGAACATGGGTGAACCACCAGTCCAGTGTGCGCAGTTTTTTCTAAACGGTAGACTGTTAATTAGATTTTCATGCACCAAACACAGGTTACGAATATTCTGAAGCATCCGGTTGCACTAGAATTTCAAATGTACTCTCTTGTACTTTGCTCTGTTTTTACCTAGCTGTGTGCTCGGACGACTGGAGAAAAGGAAACCTTTCGCAAAGAGAAACAAGCCATACAGGAAGAGATTCGGGGTCTCACTGAATCAATCGGACGAAGTTCCGTGAGATTTGATAAAAGACGTGCAGAACTAGCTGAGCTGATACATCGGCCAAGACGCGAGACTCCAAAACAATTAGAAGCACGGCATCACTCTCCCAAACAGCTAGAACCGGTCACTCCGGTGACTGGAAACAATAATACGAGCGCAGAGAGAACACCCTTAAGGCAAACGAACGATGCCCATGCGAAACCGAGCACACCTGCTCACCCTCTGGAGAATTCCCATCGCCTTGCAACTTCTACTTACAGCCTGGACCGACTATCTGGTGATTCATTCACGTTGCCCCCAGCCGAAAGGCCAAAAACAAGTGAAAGTCTACTCTCCCTGGATACCCGGAGCTGCAATTCAGTGACACAACGTCGGACTTTCGGTAAGGATGAACACTTAGCAGCATCACCCAGATTGTTGAAACCACAGACACCGTCATCAAGACAACAACAGCAACAACTAGAGACCACTGAACGCTTACTCGTGTCAACTGGAAAATCAAGTGACAAATCGACCATGAAAGACTATCGCGAGTTTTGTTTTGATCTAGATTACATATACAACGCTGATCGATACGGACAAAACGGTTTTCCTGATTCGGGATGTATGCCACGTTGTGGATTACAGGGGGACCAAAAAAAATGGCGGGATATTCAAGTACACGGTAAGTAGGTGAATGATCCTAATATTTAGTGGACAGCACCTAACATATGACCCAAAAATTTATCCAGTACATAGCCAAGTGATCGTTTGCACACTTCCCTAAATTTGATTCCGTTGCCGACTGCTGTCAGCTATGCGAGATTCTCCACTCCTATCCAAATATAAGACAATCGTACCGTTCATTTTTGGTTACTTTCTGGTCACATTTTCATAAAATTCCAAAGTTACCTCATGGCCAAGTAGACACGAGTTTTCGCAGTAATCCTCTACCCGTGAGTACAAGCTATCTGGTCGTTTACGAAATTTCCGTGATTTCACTGGATTTCCCGTTAGAAAACGTCAAACGAGACATAACTGGTCACACGGTACTCAATACTCACCAAACCTAACGAATTTTTTTTGTATTCCTAAAGTAAGTAGTAATGGGTTGCCTGAAAATCGTGGGTGTTGGACGGACACAGTGGAGCGACAAAATCTGGGTTTTCCAGGGAGCATAAAGCAAATTCCCAGTAAATGCGTATCACAATTCGCTAGTTAGCTAAAGTTTTTTTCGTACAGAAGAACATGGAGAAAGACAAACTATACCTCTGCTGGAGGGCAGCGCTGCCGTACACTGTATAGGATAGTATCACATCTGGAAGATTACTGAATTATAAAGCAAACGATGTGTGTTGGCGATTGACACTCATAAAAATGACACGTGAACACTCTGTCAAGTAGAACCTAGTGCCAAAAAATATATAATACATCCAGCATGTGTAATTTACACGTAACAGAAATGCGCTCGCCGGCTCCGTTTTTATGACGTAGCCTTATGGTCCCCCGAAACACAGTCAAGTCTGGATCGACTTGTCAATACAGCCTTGAGAACCCTCATCCTGTGTACGCCTGCTAAAAACAAGAGCGTTTTGTCCTGATTGCTCACCCACCTGCCGGCCGATGATGTAATTTCCCTCTCATTCTGAGGTAAATTGGTATCAACTACTGTCTTACGGGCTTGTCATAGCAAGTGCGGCGCTAAACTTTGCTCCGGCGCAGCTGATCGCGTAGATTGGAGGTCTAGGAAGTAACACAGAATAATCTACATAAGTCTCGCTAGAAACTCAAATGAGGATTACTCTGAAGCGATTCCGGCTTGACTGATCAGTGACATCACTTTGTACCTGCATGCAGGAGGTACCAGTGACCATCAGACTTATTTTATTTTATTCACTTTACACATTTGGCAGCGGACGGGATTGTAAGAAATTTGTTCGTCACGAAGTACTGTTGCTTTGTGATTGGGAAACAAATTCTTAATCTCCTCCGGATTCCACCGTATAGCTGTTACTGAAGTCATCTGGCTTTGGAATATCAGATTTGACGTTACCTGTGTATAGTCGACTGAGGTTAAAAGTAGGCTATGATAAGAGGTTTTTCAACATACCCTTCATGTTTATAACATGTACCCATTGATTTCAGAGGGGTCTGGTAAACAATCGGTGGATTTATTACTGGTCAAAGTTTCGCTTTTGACACAAAAGCTTAGTCAGACCAAGTGAGTAAGTAAGTAGGTTGATTGGGTTTTAAGGCAGTCGGGGAACCAATCCGTGAGATTTCTTGTGACTAATGACGTTGCTCAGCAATAAATCTCCCGATTATTTACCAAACCCCTCTGAAACGATGACTTCCCAAACGTTTTCCAATGTACCCATTGACTTTAAACTTACTTACTTACTTACTTACTTACTTACTTACTTACTTACTTACTTACTTACTTACTTACTTACTTACTTACTTACTTACTTACTTACTTACTTACTTACTTACTTACTTACTTACTTACTTACTTACTTACTTACTTACTTACTTACTTACTTACTTACTTACTTACTTACTTACTTGCTTACTTTACTTGCTTCTTACTTACTACTTGCTGTAATTTTAATCCAGCTGGTTCCGTTCTAGTATATAAGGAAACTATGATTGATCTCAGTTTATGACGATGAGGATTGCTCCTTCTGATCCATCTCGATGCGTCTGATCACCGGTGTCTCCTCAGCACAGCAAAAACAAGCTGACTGCTGTGAGGCTGCAAAGAAATAGTACTTGGTAATGGGTCCGATTCTCTAGAGCAGTAGAATAAATTTACGAGTTTGGGGTGGTTGGAGCCTGTGTTACGTATATCCAGCCACTGTCCATCGAAGAAATCGTTGCTTACAGTTTTACGTATTTGTTGGCTAAGGGTTTGCGGGGAGAAGTCATGACAGGGCAACGTTAAATTGAGGCAATTACAGTCAAAAAGAGTGCTGTGTGATCTCCATGCCTGCATGGCTAGCGTCTATGTGATCCTGCTTGCAAGTGGTTGGAAACCCTGCAAGACATGAATCAAACTGATCCCAGGGGCGCGAATGCTGTCAGTTCCTACCCGGGGTGCCTAGCTAAATGTCGTCTGTCGTTATTCATTAGGTTTATGCTGGGTTCACTAAGGATCCCCGTCCATCCCGGGGATTCTTAGGTGTGCTTGCCACTGTCCAAGGGTTCGGAAACCTTACCCTTCATAGTTTTCCTTAAGGACACGGGATTTCTTTGCACCAAATTCCTACCCCTCACTTTTCTTCAACTAGGGCTTTCCTCCTCGTGCTTTTATGACAGTGAAGCACCAATGTGTATTACTGGTGCGTTTCCGTCAATGATTATGTTGGTGGTTCCATTCTAAAGTTGTGTAGCATGCAACGACTACAGCACAGTGCTTTTTTCACTCTCATTTCACAGCTTCTGCATACATCTGTAATAATGGGGAACCAGCTCAAATTCTCATAAGCTGGGGTTACAACCTGTTTTGGATTAGATAACACCCATGTGAGTTATCTACGCACACAGAATCTATTGCTTTAAACCACACTGCGCGATATCCATTGCTTCTTGATAGATTGGTTTCCAATGAGACTTGAACAATAACGTCGTCCCCCTTAGCGTGATTACACCCAGGAGAAAATAATGCATCCAGTTGGCCTCCACAAGCGATGTTTCTAAATAAAAACTTTGAGTATTCTAGAGTGTTTTCGGTCAGATATGCCACAATCTAGAACATCGCAGTCGTGAGAGAATGAGTGTATATTTTCCACCTGATAAAAGCAAGTTTATTCCGCATAATCTCCACGAAAAACAAAATGTCTCTTAAATCGGTTGTTGTGGCTTGTTTAGGCAATCTGCTAAGCTGATTCTCAAACAAACAGTGAGAAAAGTGATGCCTCACCAATGCTGTACCAAGATACAAGCACTCCCCGTACCATGGTTTTAACCGATTTCCCGCAACTCCGATTTCATCATGGGTTTTTCTTTTTTCAAAGTTGCACCGCAGGAACTTTGACATTCATGGAGGAGGTTCAGACAAGTTCAGGGGATCGCGTTAGAAGTGCGAAAAATGACGTATTGAAGTGTTTTCTCTTTCTGGAATGGACCACCAATTTGTGTGGAGACGTATGCAGGAAATTTCGTCGTTACTCACAAGACTTGCTTTGTCCACATGAATGCAAGCAGATTGCTCGTAAAAGATCCCTAGTGATTTGGTGGTCGCCAACACTTGGTAATCTGGTAAAACGCTGAGACGGACCCATTAGAAGAATGGGTATACAAAAGCCCAAAAACAGCTAAGATCATACAGCAGAGCTCGAAGTCGATTTTCAATGCAACATCATTAGTTCACCAACGTAGTGTTTGCTTTTCAGGCAAATACTGTTTGAAGCTACTTCTAAATTGAACTGAGAATGCCAGGTGATGGTAAGCTGATTGTGTGACTCCGGGTAGTACATTAGTCCCAGTTACTGCAAACGTTATCACGCTTGTGTTCGAAAGGCAGTTAACGGGACTTGTCTCAAAGAGAACTTACTATTGGCGCTAAGTCGACAACACACTGACCACTACTAAAGGCAAGGCATGGGCCATGAAATTTCTTCAGCGGCCAAACGGCACTCAGACAAATTTCGTCGTAACGTGCAAAGGGGAGCTGACGTGCTCCTTGTACATAGGCTATGTCAATCCGTCAGACAGTATTTATAGGGAACCCACCTCGTACAGAGTTTTTCAAGTTGAGCCTTGCGAATTAGAAATCAAGCGTCTTCCCAACTTTGTTCTCTCGTGCGCCTCCAATCTTCAAACCAGATTTTACCTCAAGTGAGCTGGAAACAATCATGAATATGGAAGAATTTAAATGTCCTCCAGAGTTTATCGAACGGAATGACAAAATATCAGCAATATCAGGGTATCCGGAAGATCGGTCTCCGTATAAGTTTCATGTAAATGGAATAATGTTTGAACAAATAAAAGCATCGCCTCAGTAGGTTAGAGGGTGAACAATGCTGCACAGGCTAGTTCTTGGTCACTCTAAAGGGTGATTTTGACTTTCAATCAAAACAGAAAATATCGTTATGGCGAAACTCCCAGTGTGTACTAATTCAAGTGCAACTTAGAGATAGGTTAAATGAACGGAACCGAAAGGGCATCTACCCATTAGGGTCCAGAATCAGATGGCATTTCATATGCAGCGAATTTGTTCAATCTCCAGCCATTGCATTCAACGAGAGCGAAAATTGCCTTGAGTACAGGTCTCCGGGTTGGTTGGCCTTTAACTTTCCATGTACTCATCAGAATTAGCACATTCTAAATTTTGCCGAGGCTGCAGCAAGCAGACGTTTGCAAACTTCCGCGTAAGTCCGGAATTAACTCAACTGGTACTCGAGATGCCCCGTATATGTATTTTACTAACTGAGAAACAGTAATACCGGAATCTGGATGGGTCACACTCTCCCTATCGTCTGTGCTCTACTCAGAATTGCACTGTCATACCGGTCTCAATATTCAGAGCCTAGTTTCGACTACTGGACGATTTGTGTGGCTCCAATAATTAATCAGCCACACGGCCAGGCCTTCATCAGGCATTTACTATCATCAATACGTTAGAATGTTCTAAAGTTTATTATAGCTAGACGAAACAAAACAACTGTTGTTTGTCTGTGATAAGCACGAATCATAAGTCAGCCCCTCCGTATGTATATTTCACCTTTCACTTTCAATGGGCAGCTTCCAGAACGCGCACTGAAGGCAATCACCAGAGCTAACCTGGGCCCTCAAGTATTCTGGCTCATCATCCCGAAAATAAATCGTC